CCTTCTGGTCCTACACTTAGTTCTACTTTCTAGTCATATGCTTCACTCACCAATTGACCAGAAACCATTTCCAGCGATGTTTACAGCTCAACCAAGCCCATGTACTCTAAGCTCCTCAACCATCCAACATGTCCCCACCGTCCGTCGATCGGAGACGATCACCGGAGGAGGTCGAAGGATTGGCGGGTTTACTAGACAAAAAGCCAATAATGTTCCTGGTTTCCAGTCAACGGTCCAGTCAAAGCACCAATCCATAAGAACAGTGATCAGCAGTGAGGGTGCAAAGCTGGTGGAGAAGTCGCAAGGAAGTAATGGGTCGTTGGCTTCTTCTTCAGTAAGTGGAGGCATGGAGGTCAGGGCAGCGGTCACCATAAGGAGGAAGATGAAGGAGAATATCACCGACAAGTTGGAAGATCAGTGGGAATCTTTCATGAACGGGATTGGTAGAGGAATCTTGCTTCAGCTCATCAGTGAAGATATTGATCCCAGTAAGCTTAGTTCTTGGTTGATAAAAACTTTTGTTCTTCAAACCTAAGAATATATATAGTTCGTTATCTTGCTGAGTCTCTGTGTCTATGATAAGAGAAACCTTAGGAAAATTAAAGGGTCACAACTTTTTTTTGCTACTGCTAGTGAGGTGAGTCCAACTGTACGCAAGCTTCCCTCAAATATAGCCAAGGTGGTATAGTACAAAACACGAGAGGGCTGAGTTTTTGTCTCTCCCTTTTCGTTCTTTCTATTTTTCTTTTGCATTTGCCTTTTTTTTTGGGGAGGGGGGGGGGTGGTGCTCTTAAGAAGTTCGAATGCGATGCATTTCTTTGGTTTTCGTGGATTCTGAATGAGATCAAATTAAACTATCAAAATGAACCATTAAAAGATGAATTATGTTGTTTCATATTGATAAATGTGCTTCCTTTATGCTATCTCTATGGAGTTAGTGAACTTTTCTTTTTCTGTGGCCTTATAGTTACCAGGTCAGGAAAGAGCGCTGAGTCTTATGTTAGGGGATTTCCTAAGCCATCGAACCATCCATTCGTTGTTGAATACGCTGCAAATTTTAGGGTGCCAAATGATTTTGGGCGTCCCGGAGCTATTCTCATTACGAATTTCCTTGATAAAGAGTTCTACTTGGTGGAGATTGTTGTGCATAATTTTAGTCAGAGCCTCAATTCTTTCCAGCAAATACATGGATCCATTCTCGAAAAGATAATCCTGAGAGTAGAATCATCTTCAAAAATCAGGTTTGCAACTTATTGTCAAGATTATGTCTATGGCTGAAGTAACTAGTACAGGTTTGACAAGTCCTGTGCATGTTTGCCTGACAGGCATACTTGCCATCTCAAACACCTGATGGTATTAAGGATCTTCGTCGTGAAGACTTGCTGAGTATTCGTGGTAATGGTAAAGGCGAGAGGAAAATGCATGAAAGAATATATGATTATGCTCCTTACAATGATTTGGGTAATCCTGATAAGAGTGATGAACTAGCTAGGCCCTCCTTAGGTGGCAATGAGCAGCCTTATCCTAGGCGGTGTCGAACTGGCAGACGCCCAACTAAGAAAGGTACTTTATACATTGCGATGACCAAATTTTTGGCTTTAGTTTTTCAGCAATATTTAATTTTGGCGAGTTTATTGTATGACACTTAAAACAGATCCTTTGAGTGAAAGTAGGATTGAGAAACCTCATCCAATCTATGTTCCTCGAGATGAAGCCTTTGAGGAGATCAAGCAAAATACATTCTCAGCTGGAAGGTTGAAAGCTCTGTTGCACAACCTGATACCATTGATTCGTCTACCTTGTCAAGTTCAGACAACCCCTTCACTTGTTTTTCAGAGATAGACAAGCTTTACAATGATGGTGTTTTATTGAAAGATGAAGACCAAAAAGATGTCATAAAGAATCAGTTTCTAACCAATTTGATGAATCAAGTTTTTACAGTTGGTGAAGATTGCTGAAGTATGAAATTCCAGCTGTTATAAAACGTACGAGTCTTACCATTTCTTCTTTATCTTATGTATCCTTCTCACCCCTTGCTTCATGAATATATTTGGTTGTAGAATTCAGTCTGCCATTTCAATGATTCTGTTGAAAATCTGTAGTATGCTTTCCTGGAGACTCTATTCAAGTAACTTTTTGTTTTGGATATTATGCTATTTCTGTTTGCAGGGGACCGATTTGCATGGTTACGTGACAATGAGTTTGCAAGACAGGCACTGGCAGGTGTTAATCCTGTTAATATTGAACTACTCAAGGTAGCATTTCTATAGTTCTAAGACCTTTCTGAGTAAATCTTGTCAGTTCTTGGTTCACTTATGATGCGTCTAATCTACAGGAACTGCCAATTCTGAGCAAACTGGATCCTGCAGTTTATGGCCCCCCAGAGTCTGCAATTACTAGGGAATTAATCGAACAAGAGCTGTTTGGAATGTCTGTTGAGAAGGTACCAAAAACAAAATTCCGTAGCTTTTCTAAAACCTGTCACTAGTATTTACTTCAGAAAGTTGTTCTAGCTTACATTGGCTTGCATGTCACAGGCCCTAGAGGACAAGAGACTCTTCATACTTGACTATCATGATATGCTTCTGCCTTTTATTGAGGGGATGAACTCATTGCCTGGTAGAAAAGCTTATGCCTCCAGAACCATTTTTTTCTACACTCCTACTGGCATTTTAAGGCCAATCATAATTGAGCTTTCTCTCCCTCCCTCATCTAATTCACCAAGAAAGAAGCATGTCTTTGTCCATGGCCACGATGCTACCACTCATTGGATCTGGAAGCAAGCTAAAGCGCATGTTTGCTCAAATGATGCTGGCATCCATCAATTAGTAAACCATTGGTAAGAGAAATTTCTTATCTTTAAATGTTTCAGAAATTCTTATGTGGGAAAATATTTTTGTGGCCATCAATATGAAGTTCTTCAACCACTTTCTTCTTAGATTATTCAGTTCGCCATTCACTTATGTAGGATCATATGGACCAAGACTTTTGTTGATTTGAGTTGAGGCATTCAACACTAAAATTTCCTGGAACTCTAATAAATGTTGGAGAATGCTTCGCCATATGTAATTACAGGATTACCGAATGTGAGATTTGATTTGAATGTTATCTTTTTTCCAACGTGCCAAGATGGATCTAATGTTGCTATAATGGAACTTCAGGTTGAGGACTCATGCCTGTATGGAGCCTTACATAATAGCCACCCATAGGCAGCTCAGCTCCATGCATCCAATATACAAATTGCTTCATCCTCATATGCGCTACACACTGGAAATTAATGCCCTTGCCAGACAAGGTCTAATAAATGGAGGTGGAATAATTGAAGCTTGTTTTAGTCCAGGAAAGTATTCCATGGAAATAAGCTCTGCAGCTTATAAGAGCTTGTGGCGATTTGACACGGAAGCATTGCCAGCAGATTTAGTTAGGAGGTCGGTCTTTATGCATGCCATGCCTTTCTGTCCATCTCTCCAACTTCAAAAAGTTTTCCATCTTCATCCTATTCTGCATATAGTTCGTCACATTCTGTTTTATAATTCATGTGAATTTCAGGGCATGGCTGTGGAGGATCCTTCAATGCCATGTGGTGTGAAACTTGCGATTGAAGACTATCCTTATGCAGCAGAATGGACTTCTTATTGGTCTGCCATCAAAGAATTGGTAGCGTCCTATGTGGATCACTATTATTCTGATCCCAGTTCCATCACTTCTGATGTTGAGCTCCAAGCCTGGTGGAATGAGATTAAGAACAAGGGCCACTTCGATAAAAAGAGACGAGACTTGGTGGCCTAACCTCGGGACAAGGAAGACCTGTCTAGTATTTTAACTATTATGATTTGGGTTGCTTCAGGTCAGCATGCAGCTATAAATTTTGGACAGTATCCATTTGGAGGGTATGTACCTAACCGCCCAACCCTGATGCGAAAACTCATCCCAGGAGAAGGTGATCCCGCCTATGAGAAGTTTCTTCTCAACCCTGTGCATACTTTTCTGTCATCTTTGCCCACTCAACTCCAGGCCACCAAAATTATGGCGGTTCAGGACACCTTGTCAACTCATTCTCCAGATGAAGAGTACCTGCACCAGTTGCACAATGTCCAAAGTACTTCAATAAAGGATCCTGAAGTTCTGAAGTTATTTGAGAACTTCTCAGCCAAACTAGAGGACATAGAACGGACAATAAATGAAAGAAACAGGAATATAGCTCTGAAAAACCGAAGCGGTGCTGGTATTCCTCCATATGAACTGCTTCTACCCTCTTCCGGTCCAGGAGTAACTGGTCGTGGTATTCCCAACAGCATTTCTATCTAGGAGGTTTCCCAGCTTGTAGCTTTAGTGAATCTTTTGGTGCTTCTTTCAGTCAGGATCGAGCTTTTGGGTTTGGAGGCATCTACTTCACAATAATCGCTCCTGTGTAACTTGTCATAGTATTATTGATTGATTTTAGGGACTCAAGTCAAAATGTTGTAGTTAGCACCTTCAGCTCGCTGAAGGTTATTAAGAATTTGAACGTCATTCAGCATAATGATCAATTGATTGTAGCCGTCATATAACGAAGATTTGTAGCTGTTCTCTTTTTCCCCTCTGCTGACAGAACCAGAAAAACGATAACTTTCCATGTGGAGAAGAAGTTCGGCATTCATCATTACGCAGTCCACTGGATTGTTGACACTAAGTAGGCAATTGTTTGAAGTGCGGCATTCATCATTACGCAGTACACTGCATTGTTGACACTAAGTAGGCAATTGTTTACATCTGTTTTAAAGCAGGAGTTAATCTACTCTTGTAATTGTTGAAGTCACCACTGAGCAAATAATTCTTTCTTCCCTTGGCAGTTGCATTTATTTATGTATGATATATTACAGCAACGTCGTTGCCAGATGACAAATGACGCGATAACTTGGAAGCAGCAACTGATGTTGCGAGCTTGATCAATTCCTTTTTCAGCACCTTACCAGGAGCAATTTTGGGTATTGAGTCAAGGAAAAACAACTTTTTCTTGTATGAAGCAACGTAGAGGCAAATCCAATAATGAGTAGGAATGAAATGACAAGAAGGACAACAAATGTGCTTGTGCTCACAACTCAAAGCAACTGTTCCTATTCTGCTGTGTCTGTAATAATGATCTGATTCGATTCTGCACTCTTTAATCCGGAATAGGTAATTTTTGGTGCATGCCCATTTGGCAACAAAGCCTATAATCTTCAACTCATTAATCAGGCTTCCTGATTTTCTCACTACAAAAGCCACGGGTATTTGGCCTGCTTCGTCATGAGGGAAACCTGTAAGATTAACAGTAGGGGACTTCAACATGGATGCTACTGAGACAGTACTCCGCTTAAGACATAAGCAAAAGAAGGCTGAACAAACATACGGGATCCCAGCAGCATCAGTGATCTCGGGATGCGAAAGCAGCAGGTTTTCCAGCTCTGCCGGAGCAACCTGATATCATGCACAAAGACGGGATGGTCATTGGTCGACGAGCAAACAAGTTTTTCTCAGGCAGAAATAGAATAGCGGATTCCATGAATTTGCTTTGTGCATTTGTAAGCTCAGGAACTGAGAATGGCAAATGTGGAAGAAACCTGGTAAGCCTTGTACTTAATTAAAGTCCTTCATCCTTTCCACATAGAATAGGAAGCCTTCATGATCAAAATAGCAAATGTCACTAGTTCTTAGCCATCCCTCAGGGTCCAACATTGCAGCTGTTGCTTCTTTTTCAGCCATATATCCTGCACCAAATTGAGCTACCCCTTTTTGCAAACCACAATTCACCCCATATACCATCTACATTTATGCGTGAGATTCAATCCAGACAACAAAAGGGCCACTTGTTTGGCACGAAATTGACGGGTAAAATGGCAAACACTCACACTTCGTTATGGTAGGCCCTCTGATCCACAGTTCGCCTTTCGCGAGAGGAGGCAGACGTCCTACTGAGAGCAACAATTTTAGTTTGGCAATCTGAGAGCAGACGTCCTACTGAACCGGTACCCGGCTTTCATCTGGACCCACGGTTCGAGTAGCTCCACCTGTCGTTTCTGTAAGTAAGTCCATATGCCTAAAGCCATAGTCTCCACTACATCATTGCCATATCAGGGTCTTTTAAACGCTTACCAGATCAGCATTTTACTATAAGAAAATACCTATATTGTCTTTTTGGAAACTTGTTGCTTTGGTGCCTGAGAAATTGCCATTACATAACCATAAATCCATAATGGCATGGATTATTGGGCAAGGCTATAAGCCTGCAATTCTACGAGTCCGTAACTAAACTGGACTATGGGCATACTTGGGAAGTCACTCTTAAACCTGTCCACCACCGAATTGGCCAGCGGAGCTCCGCCACAGAGCATCAACTCTAAGGACCTCAGGTCATACTTTCTGGCAACGTCAGCATTGTTAACCATCGCCACCGCCGCCGGCTGCGCCAACGCCAACTGCGTAACCTTAAACTCCTCCACCTTTCTCACCATCAATTCAATCGAACCGTCACCAGGGTCCCACCCAAAGCCACCTCTTTGAAACACAGCAGAAACCCATAAACGTGGAAGTAAGGCACCGTACACATGGTCACAGACGGAGTCTTTCTCGTCGATCTCCTTTAAAGTGTCCGGCAGTCCCCGACGAGTAGAGAATCGCAGCCGTGTCAAATTGAGATATGTGAATTGGAGGAACAGAGAGATATAAAGAATGGGAATTTGGGACGAATTAGTTGAGAGAATGAAGGCCGCATCCCCTCTGGAGAGCCCAAATTCATGATGGAGAGAAGAAGCTAAGGATTTGACGGGATTGGAGTTGGGAGTGGAGAAGAAGGCGGTGGTTGGTGGTGTCTAGGACTAGGAGTGCAACGGCGGTGGAGGTGGGTGGATGGTGGTGGAGAAAAGTAAAGATGTAGGGCGTGAAGGAGAGAGGGGTCGTTATAGGGGAAAGGAAAAACGGGGTCTAAGGTTACGTTTGATAACACAAAAAAGCGTTAAATTTGAATTTTTTTAGATATTAAGATGATTTGAATGTTTGATAAATGAAAATTTATTTGCTGAAATTGTTAGGTAGTACTGAACTTGTATATATTTTTTTCAGCACAAGAATCCTAATCAAATGTTTAATTCTGATAAGAATCAATAGAATTATTTCAACTATCTTATCTTATTTATCAAATTTACCCTTATTTATTAATTATAGTCAAAATTCTTATATAATTAAACAATCTAATATTCTCTATTTAATAATTTTCTATTTCTCTTTTGTCTCTTTTAAATAACTTTTACTTCTTCTCCGTACTCCTCATATAATATAATTCATCTTTTATATTAATTTGATTTAAAAATAAATATTGTCACTTTCACACCTAACATTTTTAACTAATTAAATTATAGGTTCTATTTTCTTTTTTGGATGAAAAGATATAAGGGCAAAATTATCAAATTTAACTTATTAAGCATTCAGTTATAAATATTTATCAAACAATATAAATAGGTTTAGCATTAAAATTCAGGCATTCACATATTTCTTTTCAGTGTTTAAAATTCAGCAAATTAATTAGTATTTCAGTATTCAGATTTCAGAATTCAGATTCAGTTTTATCAAACAGAACATAAGGCTGTGGTAGATTCTAGCTTCGGAACAGAAACCGCTTCTGAGGTCAACGAAGATGGCGGCAAATAATGGTGGTTGAGGAGGAGGAGAATTTGGATTTGCTTTGACCATTTTTGTTATAGCAGTAGGATATTTGGAGTCGATGAGCGGTGATTTAGAATATTCTCTAGTTTCAGTAGTTTGATGGTTGGATACTGAGTTGGGAGTGATGGGGAGTTTAAGTCAGCGATGGAGACGACAAATGGAGAATCCACGAGGGCCGGGAGGCAGGATCCCCCAGTCACTTCTTACAGATCCCTTTTTTTTTTTTTTTGGGTAGAAATAATAGAAAGTATCAAATATTTACATAAACATAAAATAGGTAACTGCAGCATCTTTCCCGGTTAACCCCTAAAATGTCTGCAAAGAGTAAGGGCCTTAGTCCAACAGGCTGTTGATCACAAGAAGTCACAGATGTATTTTTGATTGAACGCCGAGATTGTCAGGAAATCCGCACGCCTGTTTTCTTCTCCGCAGGAATGTTGGAAAGGGACGTGGATACGTTGTGACTGAGTCTTGCAATCTGCTGCCATTGCCAATACATGGGGAGTTACTTCTTGTTCAGATGGTCGCTGGTGCAAACTTTAGAGTCAAAAGACTCCAAAATGCCTTTCTCCTTTGCAAGTTGAAGCTCAACTCTCATGCTCCAAGGTTTGCAGTCTGCTAACGATTCAAATTTGCCTGTCTAACTACTCACACTATATACATTACTAGGCCAATATTTGTATATCAAATAGGTTTAGTGTACAAGTCTCAATTTATGTATTAAAAGAAAAGTGCATTTTGTCTTGAGGCAAGTGATAGCTTATTTCCTGTGTCCAATCATTGGCTACTTCATTTTCACTTGACCAACTTATGTGTCGATGCATACTGTTTTTGAAGGGCGCCTTTCACAAAATTCTACTCGAATTGTGCAGCATGGTTTGGTAATTCTACATAGTTGTCTAGCTAAACAAATGTCATATTTTAATTACTAAACTCCCTACAACTCTCTCGAATCTCCTACGAGAATATCTTCATCCGACAAGCCTGTCATCTCTATCATTTACCACCACTTTTCTAATTTCAACATTTTAAATAGTCGTACAGTTTCTTGCAAGACAGCCGGTAGCCCAAAATGGTCAAAAGTGTCAATACGCCTCAAAATAGACGAATGTGGTTGGAACTGTTACCCATAGACTATTTTACTCGGATAAAACGGCGATCAGATGATCTGTCAGTTTCGATTAATCATCACATTTCTTCTTTTCCAAATACTCTTATGATCGAACATTTCTCACTAAATACTGATTCAAGCCCTCTTTTTCACTATTCCCTTTTTTAAGTTGCCTAGTGTAAAAGTTAGTACGTTTTTGGATCAATGGCTGAAACTCATATACAAGTAGCGGACGTCCCAGAGGAGGAATCACATTCACGGCAGCTGCAAGACCAGACTCCCCTGCTCAAGGTAGAACAAACTCAACAATCCCAAAATCAAGAAACTACGGAAGAAGATCAAGAGGCCTACACTCCTCTTGACAAGACCCTTAAAACATTAGACTCGTTCCTCGCTCTTCTGGGCTTCAAACAAAATTCAATCTTGAGTGTCGGACTGTCTTGGATGGTTTTCCTGCTCATTGGTTTTTTCCTTCCGGTGGTTATTCTTCAACTTTCTAATTGTCCCGGTTGTGAGAAGGGCCAAATTAAAAGTTTTGAGCTGGATATTGTGGCTTCTCAGGCTAGTTTGGCAGCTGCCTCTCTTATTTGTGTGTCCCACAATTTGCGGAAGTATGGCATTAGGAAGTTTCTATTTGTTGATAGGTATACTGGTCATGTGGAGAGGTTCAGTGACCAATATATTCAGAAGATCTCTGTGAGTATCTTTCTAATTGGACTTTATAAATTGCACGATATGCAGGGTGGTTATGGTTCTGATCTTTCTTTGTGTTCTTTATATGCTGCTTGTGTTTCTACAAGAAAGATAACAATGCATCCAAAATAAAGAGTACTAGATGAGCTATTAAGCTGGTTCATAACCTGAAAAAAAAAAAAGAGTCAATCTTTTAAATTAATTGCTTTATATCAAGGAATAAGTTGCAGAAGTTTGCTGAGTAAATTTTGGTGAACATATTTACTTTCTGCCGTCCGCTTATATTCTTGGGATCAATGGCAAAGAATCTTTCTGTGCAAGCGGAAATGTTTGGCTTGGAATGGAAAAAAGTTTAAGTTTCTATTGTACGTATTATTTGGTTTCTTTGAAACACACTACGACTGATGTTTTAAAAGAGTGGATGCTTCTTCTACTATATCATTGGGAATTATCCCAGCATATACTGGTGTGTCCGTTTCCTTCACGAGTTTTGCTTCAATATATTGCTTCTCTTGATATATTTGGTCGCTCTAAGTTTTTCTATTTTGGACTTGAGTAGTCTTTTACCTCTGAACAATTGATCTATGTAAAACTTTCGATATTTGGCACGTGTTGTAATACGACTGCCACAGTATAGGACTCATGGGGGTATCTCTATGTGCAGGAATCTGTCCGGTTGCTGGTGTTATGGGTACTGCCATGCTTCATTCTTAAGACTGCTCGTGAAGTCATCCGCATGTTATACGTGCATCATGAATTATGGTGGCAAACTGTCGTTATTTTACTAGCATTTGTTTTATCCTCAACCTATGTGACAATAATCTTTCTGTGCTCCTGCATATTGTTCTATCTGGTCTGCAATTTACAGATTATACACTTCGATGACTATGGGAAGCTCTTGAAAGGCAATCTGATGTTTTAATATTAATAAAAGAGCATATTCGTCTGCGGCATTATCTATCAAAAATAAGCCACAGATTTAGGATCTATCTTATTCTGGTGTTCTTGATTGTCACTGTAAGCCAGTTTGTGACTCTATTCCAAACTACTGGGTATACTGGAATCATCTCATTCATTAATGGAGGTGATTTTGCTGTAAGTTTGGACTTCATCATCACTCGCAATTGCTGTTTTGTTTATTGTCTCAATTGTTTGTCCATGGATTTGAATGCCGGACGGGAGTTCTCTAGAATAAAATTGGAACCCTTGGTAAAATTAAGAATTGCTGATTGATATCATTAGAACAAATTAGTGTGCTTAATTTCCTGAAACAGAGATTTGGACTCCGTTGCCAATATTTGCAGGTTTAAAGTCTATGTAGATATTCATGGACTACTTTTAATTTGGTTTGAGTTGAGATTAAGATGGATATCTCTATGCTTTGTCAGCAGCACATCTCAGCTTTTTCCTCTATGTGCACCTCTCCCGTTCTATTGTTGTGTAGTTGAGAGTATGACGCTGACAATTTAAGGTTAAGTTTTTTTCTCTGGTTATTAGGTCTCTTCCATCGTCCAAGTAGCTGGAATAACTCTTTGCTTGAACGCAGCTGCAAAAATATCCCACAGAGCCCAAGGAATTGGATCGCTAGCTGGTCAGTGGCATGCTTTAAGGACATGCACTCCTACTGATGCATCTCAATTCAGGATTGCTAGCAGCACTGGAAGCCTGGAGGTGGATCATATGATAGGTTCTCTCTACACAAGCTACTCAGAAAGTGATTTGGAGTCTTTGGAATTTGTCCCGACCAGTCAAAGTACACCACTCTCTTCTTATGCATCTTCATACCACAAGAGGCAAGCCCTAGGTACGCGGATCAAATCCTGTTTTTTGGTTTTATTTATTCTATATTACCTTCCTCTGAGGTATATACCTTAAGTTAGCCCTTTCTTTTAATTAAGCTGCCTTTCTTGAGCTTGTTTATATGACATAGAAATCTGCTGAGGATGAAAAGAATCGTTCATTGGACAGAATGTTATATAATCCAGACTCTATTAATATTCTATTCTCAGTATAGACCGGATGCCCAAATAGATGAATTTTACATGATTTTTCTGGCTCCATTATAAAGGCTTTTCCCTAGTATGAAGAATACGAGTAAATAAGTCGAGTAACAGCAGAATTACATTTTCTTAGCTTTATACCCGCCCACCTTAATCAATATGCCAAGAGTTGTGAAAGGGTATTTCGTTGTAGCATATGCTTCAGACAAGAAAGGGAATCTGATTATGAGCATGTTATCCGAAACTAAGAGAGAATTATCGAGAAATACAGCAGAGTATGTTATCGATTTTTTCTCCTTCTACCACTGCTGTTTGTTCACCTCTTGCTCTGGAAGGGATTCATCTCTTCAATCTGTTTCTTTTTATTAAAGAATGAAAACACAAGATAAATGCGCAAAAAGACAGATTCTAAGTGCTTTTGCTTGGCAATTGCTGTTCATTAAAAAACTAAGAATGACTTCTCCTACCAAACAACATACCCTCAACACAGGCAAACCACCGCACGCACACAGAACTTTGAAGTGGTAGGATATGTAAAACAGTTTCTTTCAGTGCAACCAGGCTTGATCATCGAGTGTGTTCTTTGCTTGAGCCTTTCTAACTGGTATCTTAATCCTGAATTGTCACGTACGCTCATTAATTTTTTTTGATTCTACAGTGACATATTTGCAGTCCAACCCCGGGGAATTACGGTTTTTGGATGGACGGTTGACAGGGGACTGATCAACACCATTTTCTTCATTCAACTGTCGCTCGTGCTCTTCGTGCTTGGAAAGACCGTAGTTTTCACTTCACAGTAATCACCCGCCGCGGCAAAGTGGCGCATCAAAATCGTAATTGCGATCCAAAGTCGTCGGCCATCTTCCCTGGGGCAGCGCCTATATCCCGCTACACTCCATTCTCTGTTCGGGCCTGCTACAGGCATGCAAAGAGCATCTTCGCAGGCGCCCATCACACAAGGAAATTTGCAATTTGACGGGCTCCGTTCATCATTTGCAATTTGTTCTTAAAGCATTCACTGTCGCTTCTTTGGTTAAGATTACATGTAAATCATTATAGTAAAAGACATTGGAAAAGGACCCCCAAAAAAATATAATAATAATAATAACAGGAAGTTATGAAGTGTCATTGACTTCGACTTGTACTATAATAGAAAACATAAATCAGTGCGTATGGTTAATTGGAACAGCATTTTTTCGGGAAATTATTTTACCTTTTATGACAGATTTAATATTAACCGTATTCACAAATGGGACAGCACACAATCCTTGAATGGAGGAAGATGCTCATGTTCAAGCAACAATCTCTCTCTGATGAGGGTGCTTAAGCGACAGTGCTGGTCTCGCTCCATCACCTTCCACAAAATTCAACATGATAATCAGTCAACGTCTAGAAGGCAAACCCGGGGAAGGAAATATACAAGCTAGGCTTAAACGACACCTGTAATTCTACAGCAAATGCAGGCCAATGATGGTCAAGCAGTTGAACGCAAACCCCATGCGTAGAGTCTAGATTCAGATAATGCCTCTGCTACCTCGTGATCTTCCAAATATCCAACACACACTATTATTTCAAACTACCCTACGTTGCCATAAATTAATTCATACAAAAATTTACCATATATAGGCCACTAGAAGCTAGAAATACTAAACGTCAGGTAGGTAAAAATACGCAAAGGAAAAATCCATTCAGCAGATCTCACGTTGCACCAAACAATAAAAAGCCCAAGAAGCTCCAGATTTTTCTAGTAAAATCCTTGCATCCTTACACTAACACTTGCATGATGAACAGCAGAATTACAAGAATAGGATGAAAGATACACAAGGAAAGAAGCTGCCATGAAGACACAACTAACGATGGTAAACGGTCCTCAACTCATCAAGAATCTCTCTCACCCATATCCTGCACTACATTCATTATTGAACCTACACTGATCAACCTTTGCATTCAATCTCTTTTAGTTACTTTTTTCCAACTATGAAAATTACCTTGAAACACTTTTGAGAAGCAAAAGCTAAGAGAACCAAAAGTATCCAAAACCAGAAGCAAGCACATCTATGATAATAAGTTCTCTCCTCGCTGCATCTATGAAAAACAATGAGACAAGGAATTTTACCACACATAACATATAAAAATGCAGTTTATAACTAGAAGTTGACACCTCAGGATATGCTCCTTGTGACAGACAACCAGCGTCGCACTACAACTTTCTAATGATCCAAGTATTCATCTCTTCTTCCCAGCTAATGACGTTATCCATACCTTCCACTGTAAAATATAGCACCCCCAAGTTGGTAGCGGCTCTAACTCAATACTGCCCCTTCACTCTTAAAATACTAAGCACCCCCAAGTTGTCAGCAGGCTCTAAGTCAAGACTGTCTCAGTTCATAAGAAGAATAGCACCTTAAATCCACCAGTTATCCTACAAGGCAAATAACAAGACCCACTTATAATTTATAAGACTTGAGAAAGACCTTTGCTGGAAAACATAAGGACAATGCAGTAGCACAAAATTGGAGCATTGGTCACATTATGATCTGTTGAACTAACAGGCAAACAATATCAGGCATAAATAGTGGAATACTAGAGAGAGACACAATCACGTCACACCTAAGAACAAATCATTGGTGATTAAACTCCAGAACCATATGTCAAGAATTCAAAACTACAGGTTATAGAAGTAAAAAGATCCCAGTATGACATTTGAAAATGATTGGATGTAAATGTGCTAGCCATTTAGTTTGCCCACACACATTCTCATCAACCTTAACTGTACATTCTTCTAATCTCACAGGCGTACCAAAAATTAAGCTAGTAGCCAGTCAAAACAAACATATCATGAACCAATCAGTAGGTAAACCTCCCAGCATCTGTAACATCTTAGCAACAAACAGTTGGATTCTGTATCATCACTTGAATTATAAAAAAAACCCCAACCAATCCACAATATGCAAACACAGCTAACCATTTCTTGCACAGAATTCTAGATGAATGGCAATTCATAAAACCTGGATGCAAAACTCAAATTTGAAAATTCAAAGCCAGAGAGCAAAACTTAAGGTATCTCAACTCTATGTTACAGAATTTTTCCTGAAAACAAAAATAGGTTCAAATATTAAAGAATCTTCAAAAAGTTCTATGGTGCTCATTATATGTCAAATACATAATGCCATACACAGCACGATAGTTTTAAAAAAATTAAGCAGCTACAAATATTAGGGTAAAAAAGACTACAAATATTAGAGTAAATAAAGGCTGCAAGGTACCTCCACAGAGCTTTGAAGAAGAGAAAAAGAATATCTGAAGAATGGAAAAATAATTTGAAAATCTATATGCCAGGTTGTACAGGTAAACTCCCCCAACCTGCCTGCCTTGATACTGCAGTAACATTTGCACATGAATGTCAAATAAGTCCAAAGATGAAGACGTTAAAGGCTCAATATCACCATAAAGCCAAAAAAAATTGAAAAAATAAAATTAAAAATAAAACTCATCTAGGTTGTACAATTAACACACACAGTAAACACCTACATTCCCAGAAATATGGCAACTAGCACATATAAATAAAAAAAAACACAGTAAAACATCTTGGTTGTACAATTAAAATACACAGTAAACACCTACATTCCCAGAAATATGGCAACTAGCACATATAAATAAAAAAAAAAAAAACCACTCTGTCGCAAAATTCTTGATACAATGAGCTGCCCATCCATAGTAGAGCCATGAATAGTAAAATCTAGTTACAACCCATGTTGCTCTTCTTCTGCCTTGGTATCAAGGATAAACGTGGGATTACAACAGTATTTCAAGAAAAACATCTTCTCTAGGTGGCCACACAGCATAAAAGCCACACGTTTATCAAAGTAACGCTTGTTGGCATGTTTGTGATTTGAAGTCTCAAGGGAAGGAACATAGATGAAGGTCTATGCCAATATTAACATAAACAAAAATCTATTAGCTTCTTCCTAATTATAAACAATTCGCAATTCACAAGAATGACCTAGGCAACTCAATTAGCTGGAAACTGAAGTTTCTGCATGCATCACATCCAAACGGTCTCTAAATATCCTTTCAAATAAAAAACTTAAAATGAGAAATACAAAAGAATAGAACAAAATCCCGCTAAGAAACACCAAAATTACACGTAGTAGCACTATGAGAATAACGTCTTCACATTTACACTTGCTGTATCAAATGCCAAACCATTTAGAATCTAAAATTGCATCTCCTCAGATAATATCATTATAAACAAAATTAAACACATCCATTAAACAAATTAAACTTAATTACCAGAACCTTCATATGGGAATGGTGCAATTTTCTTCAATCAAAATGGCATAATTAATAGACAACTGATCCTCCGATTATACTATGTCAGGTTATGTAGCCGAGAGCTCCAGATTGGAAAGATGAGATATGGCACTTTCTCACAGGATTACCAGAGAAAGCATGTAATTCTAAGAGGCTAGCATGTGGCCTAACATAACAATGGCACAAAGGACATCCCATATCGACAGAGAGCAAATTTCTGATCCTTCATTACACCCATGTATTCAGACTTAACATTACCTCCAAAGCGCAATACTTTCTGTCATTTCTTCGTCAATCAAAAGCTAAGAAAGCCTGCTCCGCGTTACACCAGTGTCTCTTGCAAAGACCAGGATGAAAATTAAAATTGATAAAACAAAGAACAAAGATTAAGAATAAACACTATATCGTTCTGAAATTCAAAACAAATTTCATGAAAATTGTTACAATGTATCAACAGAAAATATGTTACATACACAAGTTTCAACTGAAACTGTTTCTTAATAAGAAAGGCACTATGCCACACCTTGGCATGCAAGCAGTGTCAAAGAAGGAATTTTCATTACACCAGAGCTCCCCACCACATCTGATTCAAAAGCTTAGACAAAGAATTGATTCTCCATCTACTTCATCAAGGGTGCCTGCTAAAAAACAGCACGAATGATCTTCTAACAATAACTTCCTCTCAATACATCCTCACCTCAACCACATCAATCACGAGAACAGAACTGAAGCATAAATTGAACTTCAAGGCACTAATGACTTCCCTTAACCAAACAAACCACTAGTTCCTAGTTCCCCTTGTTGCAACTCCTTCCTGCGCTGCTCTTCCAAGGGATCTGGGCTCTTCATGGCTCTTCGCAAACGTCTACAAAGAAGCAATAAAACATTAATTCATTAATCCAACAAATGAACAAATTAAGTAACAAACAGAGGACGGCTAAAGTACCTGTCTTGAGCATGCTGAGCAGGAAAAGTAGGCATAAATTCTTTCGACTTGGGTAGAGGAACTTCAGAAAACCAAGGATGGCTAGAGCATCCTCAGCAGTTATTCGCTGTCCAAAGACAAGAATCAGAAAAACGTCTTCCAAACTTTAAATAGTTACAATCATGATCTACAAACAGTATCACACCTTACAATGACATACCTTCTCAGGGTCGTAAGTCAGAAGCCTGTTCAATAAGTCAAATCCAGCATCAGAGAGTACCGGCGATCCTCTGAAGGATGTAGCTGGAAATTTGGAACGCAGTTGATTATACCTGAAATGAACAAAGCACCAGTTAATAGAAACATGACATATATTTGGGAACTGAAACTGTCGCCAACGAAGGACAGAAAGCCAGACCAGAATCACCCAAAGCTGGAAGCCTGGGAAAACAGTAGGAAACATGAAAACCATAAATTATACAGTCGATTTGCATCGAACTATGATAAACACGAAATAGATACTTACTGATGCTTGACAAAGTTAACCCTGACCCCAGGAAGCTTTGAAAACCCAGGCCAGATTGTGTCATTAGGTACCAAGGATTTTGAATATCTGCAAAACAAAACGACAATGATCTTTAAGGCCACAGAAAAGAAAATTAGCTTGGAATCCATACAAAAATCTACAGTAACATTACAGATGAAAGTTGTCAAAATGTTAACCTTGTCGAGTTGATCAACTTCTGTTTTCCCATTGAATAGTGGCTGCTTCGCTAACAGCTCGGCCATAATACAACCCAAGGACCACATGTCAATCGCTGTAGAGTACTGCTTAGCTCCTAGAAGCAGTTCAGGCGCCCTTGAAAAACATTAAATATTCTGTCATTCGGTCGTTTATTTTTATTTTCCAAAATTAGCAAAAATAAAATACACAATCACAAGACCTACAAATGAAAAGGAAAGAGACACATATTCCAGCTAGCTGCTCAAGTTTCAAATTTTTTTGGTCTAATATCAAGATAGTGCCACATAGAAAATGAAAATTTGGCCACCTAAGAGCAAGATGCTACAACATACAATTCTGTTGCACCAGAAAAAATAACAAAATGCAGTTTCTAAAGTAGAGATTATCATTGGCGCATTCTGGGTAACCAAACTAAATTGACATGACTTACATTCATAGAAGAAACAACATTAACAGTAAAAAAAAAATCGCAGTAAGGCCCAGGTGATCACTCTAGATTCTTGTAATAGAAAGGCACTAGCATAGGATTTGCAATTAAAGCACTCAATACTATTTTGACAAAAACCAAATAATACATCAAAAATGAACCAGGTAAAAGATTTTAATTATCTCAACTAAAAAAGACAATAGTGCATAAAACTACGCTCACCTGTACCACAAAGTAACCACCAAGTGAGTATATGGTTTCAAAGGGCTTCCATATTGACGTGCTAATCCAAAGTCACAGATCTTCAACTCACCACAATTATTTAAAGTATATTTGATGTCTTTAAATCTCTGTGCAAAACCCAGTTATCGTGCAGATACTTAACACCCTCAAAAAGCTGAAGCATGAGGCACTTAACTTCACTCTGGCTAAACGGTTGTTTCATTGTCTCCATTAACCCCTTCAGATCATGTTCCATGTACTCCATTACCATAAAAATGCTGTCCAAACTGCTCCCTACAACTACTTCCTTGACATCTACAATTGATGGGTGATGAAAAGAAAGAAGAATGTTTATTTCCCTCAAAGAGGTCAAAGGGAACCCTTCTCTTTCTTTATCCATCTTGACCTTCTTCAGAGCAACTATTTCTCCTGTTCTCTTATCCCTAGCTCTATAAACTACACCATATGTGCCTTCATCTATTTTGTTCAGCCTCTCAAACTCATCAACACTTCTACAACCCTGAAGCATGTTCACGGCCCTTGGTGGAGGAACTGCATGTTCTGGTGTCCCGTGGGAGTTGTGTTCATCATCAGAACCAGTATCCGCATTGCTACCACTGGTTCCACCATAAGTGCGATCTTCATCAACCTCCATGTACTCATTCCTGTCCAATTCATCAGGATCACTATCTCCACTAAAGGATCTAACGCGTTCATCAGAAGACCTGACCCTATTTCCCACTGAACCTTCTCTCCTCAGTTCCCCGAGCTCTGGAGTTACCGATTTCCTCTGTCCCCTTGTGTCAGTAGATTCATTAACAGATTTCTTCTTCTTCTTCAATTTAACCATCTCCTCATCATCAGAAATTTCACCTTCATCAGCTGATGATTCAGCCTCATTTGCCCAGCGAGAGGATTTTATATTACGTGCTGGCATATAGTAATCATCATCTACTGTCACTGCTCCCTCATTTTTACCCCAGTGAGCTTCCTCTTCCTCTGCCTCAGGAGCTGAAGGAGATAAACCAATTGGAGAGTCAGAAGCAACATTTATTTGAGAAGTGAGGTCCTCAGTAACCTTTTTCGGTGACAGCCCAGAATTCTGAACCACTATATCTTTACTAGGTGAAATATGTTGACGACTATCAGGGTTGCGATCAGGTGACATGGTGCCAGAAGTAGGCGTGGGTAGCTGAGGGGAAGAGCAGCTGCTGCTGGGGAAGTCCTCGCCTTAACAATTCTAGTCACTTTTTGCCATCTCCATCTCTATCCCAAATGATGGGTGAAAATTTTCTCTTTCCATTTTCTGACTTCTTAAGCTCACCACCATCCTTCTTATGCGCTTCAGAATCAATAGCCCCATCAGACCCACTTTCACTGGACAATTCCCCAGGTTCTCTGTCCACGGGCCTCATGCAAAAACCATACCTCTTTTGGCCCAGACCAGCACTACCACCACCACTACTGCCCGAGTCACTCCTACTTGAGCAGACCGATACCCACCATTAGTGAACTCCCTCTCCTTAATATCCTTCTGCCTAACTCTACCCCTATCTCGACCATCATGATTTTGAGCCCTATTCCCCCTATCATAGTCCCCCACACCATTCCTCATCCGATCATAATCACCTTTTGAATAGCCAATTTCCCTCCTGGCTACCTCAAAGTCAGACTCACGATCCCTGAACTCATTGTCCCTATAACCCCCATGTCTTCCAGCCGCCATAAATCTATAACCGAGTTTATCCCTCTGATACAGCCAAAAAAATTCAATTCACCTGCTAAACTCGCCTAAACCGGGGTTTAAGAGAAACCCTAAGCCTAATTTCAGCAAATTTCATCAAACAACAGAAGACCTCCTTCCCCAATTTCCCCTAATTCTACCCACAAGATTTCAATCTATAAAGCGAGACAATCAAAGTACAGATCTTGATACGAGAAACAAGTTCAAGGCCGAAAGTAAATCGCGTAGGGCCAACAATTATTTTTTTCTTCAATCTTTGTTAATAAACTAGAAATAAAAGCCCGAAATCGAACAATAGCTGACGATAGAAAACCCTAGAAATTAATATGATATACTCCCTCCGACAATTATTGAGATTCGAAGGGCTTACCAACGAACCGAGTCCGATGGATTCAATCGGATTGGAGAGAGACAGAAAGAGATTAATGAGTAGCAGCGGCTACGAGCGAGGCTGCTTCTAGAGAGAGAGAGCGTAATAATGGTTCTATCGCAGGTTCGCAGAAACGAAGGCGAAGCCGACTTCGCTACCGCGGACGAAAGAGGCCTATTTTAGTGCTATCGCGAGCGTTAAAATTATGTGGATGCCTTTGAAATTCTTGCTATTTTTTTTAATGAGTATAAAATTGCTCAATAAGCCCCTCAAGTTTTTTCTTACTTCATTTTTCTGCCCCAGTAAAGGCGCGGAGCATGGGCCCTCTAAAGATCGCTCATCAAGTACGGATTGGGCTGAGCCCGACTGAGGCCCAGCACGAACCACGGATGGAATTGGTCTTGACAGTGAAACTTATTGGTTGACAGGTGTATTGTAGTAGCCCGTTGGAATGCATCAGTTTTCTTGATTAATTGCGAAACTAGGCAAGTGTGAATAATTTATGAAAAAGTATAAAACTAATGTTAATTTTAAAAATTATCATTCGCTAAGTGCCCAATTACCAATTTTTAAAGAACTTCTATACACATATGTACTAGAATGCAATGATTTTCATTAGATACTTCAAGCTATGCCAAGAGATTGATGGATATATTTCGAGATAGTTATTATATTTTTTACAATGATTATAAAACTAGAATTACATATTTTTATTTCACCGTTCAATTATTATATTATTATTTTAACTATTTTATTATAGTTAATTTTATTATTATTATTATTATAACTATTGTCGATTTTGTTATTTAACATTTTGTATTTTTATTCTAGCGGAACAGCACGAACCAAGCGTCACCAGTGAGTTTGCACAAACCTAAAGTGGGGGCTGATTGTTTTAGCTGCTGTATCAGTGATATGAATTCTCATTCACTCGCTCAATTGGTGTCCAGTTTGGTGAGCATGTGAAACGAGACGCTGTATATTGTATGCAAATTATTGCAAAGCATGAATTTGAAAGAACTTGTACGCCCAAGTAAGTTTTTCCTCTTATGATGAATAGGCATAAAGCATCCAGTTAGTTTGGAATTATGCACCGCCAAACAAAAAACCACACAGTAGCAAAATTCCTGTAGCAAAAATCTGATCAATGAAATATCATCAATTATCTCAGGCGCAAAATGAGCTTCCATACAAAGAAACAGCTAATTATGTGAACAAATGGAAGCCTTTTCGCTAAATGAAACCATTAGTCTTGAACCCTTGCTGGAACAAGGATCATATTGATGGCCACAAATAGCAGAAGGTAACATTGTTCAGCAGCCACGAGAGGTGGTAATCAAATCTATGGCTCTGTGCTTAAAATGGACGAACGTTGCAAGGCCTGAAGAAACGCAGCAACGGTGAGCATTTTGCTACTTTCTACCAGCAGAAGGAAGGCAGCTTGAAAGAGAAGGAAGAAGGCATATGGCCAGTTCTCCTTATGTAATCTGCCCTTTCGGAAGTCTTCACAGCTTTCTCATTTAGCTTGGATTCTGCATTTGCTCGCTTTTCCTCTGCTATTCTCTTAGTTGCAGCGAGTTTGTTCGTGTACTTCTCTTGTGCTCGAGACTTCAGGCGTTCAGCCTTCACCTGCAAATTTGATAATTGAATGTAACGAACTACCGTCGTATTTGTCTAAGAAAGATAGGCGTTTGTATCATAAATCATCCCATTTCAGTCGATAAATTCTCAAGCCCTTTATTTATTTATCCTTCTGCAGACATTTTCTAAAAATATATATATATATATATATATATATATGCGTCACACTCTTCACTTTCCTAACTCGAACGATGATAGACACTGTAGTCATGGTTCTGCGTCCAGACTAAAATCAGTATGTTATCAGCTCTAAATGCCCGGTGACATTTGCAATTTAAGCTGGACATTTTCATGATTTTTTCAAAATGTGTTTGTCTAGCCTCTTAACATCTAATTATGGACTCATCATTTGGTTTAGGGCTTTATGTATTTCATCGAAGCAGACCTTGACAAATCTGTTTTTGATAGTTTCGAACTAGTAACAGACAAGAACATGGCAATATGGTGTGGGCGAGGGGGTGGTACCTCCATCCTTCGCATTTCCATCTCAGCTTTCCTTTTCTCGTGATTTTCCCAAGCTTGTATCTTCACCTCTTCGCGCTTATACCTGCACAACCATACTATCAAAAGCTGTACAATGCCGTCTCATCGAGGAAAATAGCAGTTCTGTGGTGCATAACTTTTACGAAGCTGCTTATTTATATTACCTTGCCAAGTACTTGGCTCGTTCAGCCTCATCCCAAGCCATTGCCCTGGTTTCCAGAGGATTTAGCCTTTGAGGTTGATCTGAACGGCTCTCACTCATATTTGCAGCATTCAGTTCTTCTCCTTCTCGCGCAAATCGGCTTGTTGATGATCCATTGCCCCTGCCAGCCTCTCCCCTGTGCTCAGCAGATGTTATACCTGTCTGAGTCTGACCGTCTTCAGAGATCTGGAATCCATTTTGATACCTTAATGGGGTTGAGGATCCTGAGGTTATTGGGCTTCTTGCCGCTGGAGTTGTGGATTTAAGAGGGGTGGCCGTTCTTGAAGGCTCTTGGCTTGCGGCAGGAGTCATTTCTGTTCCCATATCCCTCACGCATATGATCGAACAACCGAAACGGATCCAGTTGATGGCTTATTGATTCTCCAGACCGATTCATCACAGTCCATATCCTTTGTTTCTACTTCATAGTGGACACTACTTGGAATACCAGAAAAAGCATTTCCTCCTTCATCCTCGCTGCTCAGGTACTCCTCCTTGTACCGGAGCTATCAATCTTCTGTCGTCAGCATTTGAATTGCGGGGGTGGACTTTGACTGGTTTTTCTCTCCACCTCTTGAAAGATGATTACCCAGCCACTTTTGTGCATCGTCCCATTTCAGAGGAGTCGGCTTTCCAAAGGCCATTCGATGATGTGAAGAGCGATTCGCACCATTCCCTTTGTGAAACTCAAAACTCACAGCAGCACTGCTCCCAGATAGCTCTTGTGCTCTTCCATAGTTCAAACAGCCCTTATCCTCCATTGACTTCTCCTCTTATTCTTCGCCAAAACCTTTCTAGCTGAACTTTCCAATCAGCAGAAAGAAAGGCGCCATCTTTCCCACGAACAAAAATGCAACTAATCCTTCAATCAAGCCTTTGACTCCTCAGTCGCTGAACAAGACATATTGGTAAGAAGATGAAAAAGAGGCAAAATTGATCAGCCAAAAGGGCACAAACCAAAGAAATCTCGATGAAAAGACAAACTCGGTCGCTGGAAAAAGTGCCAACACAAGAAATGGAAGAAGGCGCTGTCGCTATTAATTGCGCCAAGATACTTAGATTGATCACTGCTCGACTTATCTGAATACACAGAGGAAATGTGCAGACTGCAGAGAATAAGACCTTGAAAGTATGGATTTTTGAGATCCGCAGAGCTGAGGCTGGGATGAAGGAAGTTCAGATCCACTCAATAGACATGGTACCAGTTAAAATAGTTGCACTGCATCTGCTCTGCATTGTTAAAAACAACGGCATATGGGCAGCAACATTTGTAAAACATTTTTACCAGTAAAATATTAATTACATTGAAACAGGTGCACTTTATTGCCTGAATGCAGAGTGGGGCAAACTCAGCTTCACAGCTTCACTCACCAGTCACTACAGAATCTAAGGAATAGTCCTGTGACACCCACATAACATAAGTACTACCAGTACATTTCTAACTTTCTTCTAGCTCAGACCCATGTACTCCTAATTTAATAGGATTTTGCGAAAAAATGTACATGCTCCCTCCTCCTCCTCTATTTCTCTGTAAGATAAAAAGGTTCTAAGTAGCCTTGTGACTCAAAAGAAGAGGACCGCTTACTTTGCAAATGCACTGGTGCTTTGTTTAATTGTTTTGGATTTATCTCTTCCGTACTATGAACTCAGAAAAAGGAAATACTACTTGCCAGCTCGATCGACACTTTTGCCTCGAATTGGATCGCCACCCTTTTGTAAACTAACGGTTATAGAATGGCCGAGAAACAAAAACAAAAAAAAAAAAAATTTTTTGTCCAAGAAGCCTGGCGAGCATGTGGAAGTTTCAGTAGTGTCTGCTTGGCAAATTGTAAGAATGCTGGCAAATGCCTGAGCTATTCCACATGGTAGGATGGGCAACAAAAAAAAATTCGTTGTCTATTTTCAAGAATTTGACAAGCTTAGTTAGTCCGATTGGCAGATAGATGGATTTTTTTTTTTTTTTTTGGCATTACACGGTGTACTACTATAAAGGTGGACCATAAATTCCAGAGGTAGTAATTAACCTCAGGAAGGAATAGCTTTCAAGAGGCCTCCTCAGTCTATTATTATTATTATGAGTGAGGCTGTTGGTGTTGAATTCATTCATTATTATGTTTGCGTTATGGATTTGTCTGCAAAGACTTGGAAGGAAGCCATGTGCTCTGGCATATGCATCCAAGGATCGCATTAATTTCTTGATTATTCATGTGAAAACCCATTCTACTATGTATGTAATAATATAACAAAAAGGACTTGTGACGTAAAAGAGTGAAAATTCTGGCGAGGTGCAGGAGTAATTTCTAGTTCGACCGTTTCCAGTCCCTTCATCGGGTTATTCTTAGATCTTTTCAGGTCCTTTCTCTCTTCTAATTCAGTATAATTTATCGCATCGACCAAAAAAAAAGAGCTGGAGTTTGTTTGTTTCCAATCAGTATCAGGAGGAGACGGTGAGGAGTATTTGGGAAGTCACGATCTGATCTGGTGTATTACGTGGATGATCCGATCCGTACGAACTTTTTTTTTTTTTTTTTTCTGATTTGGCAGATGAAAATCAAAGCTTAATTATCATCAAAGCTCAATTCTTCGTGCACGCGCCGCCGGCGCAGTAGCGGCAGCGCTAGTCATCAGATCAGACCTGCGAGGGAGATTGGGACGCTACACTACTTACTGGTGTAGAAGTAGAACTCGACCAACAACCACACATAAATTTCAGTCTCCATTGCCTTCGAGCCGAAAGGAATCCGGACAAACTATGCAATGTCAATGGTTATCTGAACTTTTTGGGACCTGTGTTCCTTTGTAAGTAGCTGATAGATAGATTATTGAGTTAATTTTCTATATACTGTACTGTATTGTCGTGGATTCATGATCAAATGATTAAATTTAAATTCAAAAAATAAATTTCTGAAAAGATTTCTCGTTGCAACAGATTTTTTGTATTTTACCGAGGAGCATTGTCATTTTCTGCCAAACAAGCTTTTCCGATTGCATCATAAATTTTTTTTTTTTTTACATGAATCATAAATTTTTTAAACAAAAAAAATTTTTTTGTCAAAAAACAAAAACTTTTTAGTAATAACCTTTTTGGCTTACAGTTACAGCAAGTACTTATTAGTTTTCCCAAAAAAAAAAAAAAAAAGGTTTTGCTAAGTTTCAATCAAAGCAAATCCAGAGAAATCGGACGGGAACCTCGTATTCGCAACCGCAAGTGAAGCGACGTCGTTAAAACGATTGACATAATAACCCTCAGTGTCCTTGCCCTTGGCCAGTAGTAGTTGGCCTGGCCTCCTCCCAGCGCCACCGGCACAGCGGTGAGGTCTCGCCTTTTGCCGCCATATTCTGCAGCGGTTTCTTATAGCAATGGGGATTTTAGGCCTGAGTGAGAGGTTTTCTAGACTATCCAAAACTAGTTTAAGTATCCACTCTTCCTACTTCAATCGCTCGCGGAAAAGAGCCTTTTCAGAATTGAAGCAGAAAATCACTGAAGACGACTCTATCTTGCCTGTCTTGATCGTAGGTGCAGGCCCGGTTGGACTTGTCCTCTCTATGCTTCTTACCAAGCTTGGTATAATTCACCGTTTTCTGAACAAAGTTCATTATTTTCCTTTTTAACAAACCTGATGGTTTTTCAGGCTAATATTTGAAAATATTGCTGAATTAGTGCAAGGTTTTATGGTGTTTGTTTAGGGGTCAAATGTGCAATACTGGAGAAAAGTACGACTTTTTCGACGCACCCACAGGCTCATTTCATTAACAATCGCTCTATGGAGGTGATGCCGACGGAAAGTTTTTTTCCCCCTCTTTTTCTCTTTTCACTAAGAGTGTGTGTGTAATTTTGGTGAATGGTTGTTTACTGACGCGCAAATGTTGTATGATAGGTGTTTAGGAAATTAGATGGTTTGGCGATGAGATTTCGAGTTCACAACCACCTGTGGATTATTGGAGGAAATTATCTATTGTACTTCACTCACTGGTCCGATACTTGGAACAGTAGACCATATGCAACCTCAAGGTAGGATTTTTCTTTGATCTAAGGCCAATGTGGCAACTGAAATCACAGTTTCGGCAGATTTTTTTTATTTGATAATCTTTATTTAGCTTTTACAAGTGATGGAAAACATTTGCTTTCTTGTCGCTTTTATGTCTAGTGTTTCAATTCTTGGCACGTTATTGTCCCTAAAAGAGAACGTAAATCGCATGCAACTGTGGTCCTGCACTTCCTGATGTGCGTATCTTGTAGCTTTTACTTGTTTTGCCTAAATTTTGCCTTTTGGTATCTGCAGATTTTGATCGAACTGTGAGCCCTGTATCTGTAGCTCATTTTTCACAGTACAAACTTCACAGATTACTACTTGAGAAGCTTGTAAATCTTGGTTTTCACATTGTTGACAGTCACGGTCTAATAGGCTTGAGGAAATCCTGATTAGGGAGAAGGAGATATTGATGGGGCATGAATGCGTATCAGTTAGTACTGCTCATCATGGTGTTACTGTCACAGCGTCTTTTCTTAGTGAAGGGAGGCATATGCAGAAAGATATCCGTTGCAATTTCATTGTGGGTACAGATGGTGCAGGAAGTACAGTCAGACAGCTTGTAGGAATAGACATGAAAGGAGAAAGGGACTTGCAAAAGCTAGTTAGTATTCACTTTATAAGCGAAGACCTTGGAAAGTATTTGATGAATGAGAAACCAGGAATGCTATTCTTTATCTTCAATTCAGAAGCCATTGGTGTTCTTGTTGCTCATGATTTGAAGCAAGGAGAGTTTTTTTGCAGGTGCAGAAAGTTCTGATATATATATATATTTATATATATGTATTGCGTTTAATTCCTCTGTTGTATTCTTTGCTCTTGGAAACTTTTGTGGTGTCCAACATATGTAATCTTAATGTCTTGCAGGTACCATTTTATCCCCCCCAACAGAAGCTCAAGGACTTCAGCTCTGAGGTATTATCTTATTAAATGCATCTTTATTCTGTAGTGGATTCCACTGTGGCACACTCTGGGCTGGGGGCAGTGGGGGTGTGTGGTTGAGCTGTGATTTACCAGGCTATTATTAAGGTTACTACTTTAGTGATTTTTAGGATTTGACAGACTCAATCTACTGCATATATTGGAGTTTCTTGCTGAAATATGGAATAATTATGCTTAAAGTAGTTCTTATTGTACAATAATTGTTGTAGATGTGTGAAAGATTAATCTTCAGATTGGTTGGCCGGGAGCTTGCAGACATACAGGTTAGGGATGTAAAACCATGGGTGATGCACGCTGAAGTTGCTGAAAGATATCTTTCCTGTAACAACAGGATAATTCTTGCTGGTGATGCTGCCATCGCTTTCCACCAGCTGGTGGTTTTGGTATGTGGTTCAAAACTATATCTTGTTTTTCCTTTTCCAATTTATAGAAGTTTATGGTTGTCGACATGTTATCTTAGCTCTTTGTATTGTTCTGTACGAACAAGAAAGAGATCACCTTCAGACCCTGTTCTTACTTTTCAGGGATGAATACTGGAGTTCAGGATGCTCACAACCTTGCTTGGAAAATAGCTTCTGTTCTCAATGGCATCACACCGCTTTCATTTCTTTCCACTTATGAGATAGAACGTAGGCAGGTGATTTGGTTATGACTTATTTGCTTAAATCAATGGCCTACAGTTTTTTATCTCTGGTATTTCCAACATGTGCACAATATTTATTGTCATGTGTAGATTGCCAGATTTAATACGGAGCTTAGTGTTCAAAACTTCAAAGCAGCTATGAATGTTCCTTCTGCACTTGGTCTTGATCCAACTATTGCTAATGCAGGTGAACTAACACAGTTAAGAATATGGGCTCTTATGTGGACTTGTACACAAATCTTTGATGCATTATCATTTGTCTAATTTCTTTGTTCTGGGTTTGCAGTACACCGTGCAGTTAATGATTGGATTGGTACCATTTTACCGGAAGGACTACAGAGGTCAGTTTTGGAGGAATCTTCAGCATAGGCCGTGCACAGGTTTCAGACTCTCTGTTGAATGAGAAGAATCCTTTGGGATTGTTGAGGCTTGCCAAACTGAGACAGATATTTGACGAAGGAAAGAGTCTTCAACTCCAGTTTCCAGCTGAGGATCTAGGTTTCAGGTAGAATTATGTTGTTAGCTGGGCTTGCACTTCACCATGAGTTTACAGTATATTTAGGCTTTGTATGGATTAAGTGTTTTTGGAGGGTGTTTTAAAAAAGTTTTACTTGCAATGCATGTAACAAACTTGACATTGTAGATGTGTTTGGGTTTTTTTTTAATTTAAAATTTTATTGGGATTTTTTTGAAAATTTATTAAAAAAATTTTTCCACAACCACTCACACCCCCACCCATTGCCCTCTGCCACCACCCTTCCTCCCCTCCTCCCCACTCTCCACGGTGGTGGTTGGTAGCATGTGGAAGAAGAAAGGTGGGAGTTTTTTTTTTTTAATTTTTTTGTGTTGTTTTTAGGTATATTTGAGCTTATGTGTTTTGGAGTTTGTTACTACAGACTCCACAAACAAAAACAGTTTTGGGAAACAAGGGGAATCCATATGGAGTATTACTTCTTGGAGTCATCTAGAGCAGTCTGAGTCCTGATCTACCCAGAGAATGCTCTTGTTCAAGTGGTTTCAAGTAATACATGTTCTTTGGGAGATTATTGGTGAAAATTTGGGAAACTTGTCATTGGCTAGTTGTTTATATGTTTGTTGGTAATTGAAGGTTTTTTTCGTACCCAAGGAATATACTTTGCACTGACAAGTTAAAGGTTTATTTATTAGGTATCTCAAAGGAGCACTAGTGTCTGATGATGATAGTTCATCAAATGCTCAGAAGCACCTACTGGAGGCAGGAGGGACTATATCCTCAGCAGATCCTGGATCAAGGTTGCCACATATGAGTATGAGACTCTTGTCAGACCTCTCAAGCAAGGTACTAGTTTGATCTTTTCTTCTTATTGCATACATTTGAGCATGCTTATAAGTCTCTGCATCTTTATCTGGGGCCACTGAGGGTTGGAGAATGGTCACCTTGAGAGGGTTGGAGCTGGCTACTGAATGCATAAGTGCCTATCTGTTCTGTAATGGGTCGAGAAAATCAAATCCTCTCTCTTTGTTTCTTCTTTTGGAACTAGGGTGGGAGTTTTTGTTTCTACATTCCTTATGTAAATTTAATATGCAGGAAACATTTTCACCTTGGATCTTGTGTCCTGGATAAAGTTGAGTTTGTTCTCATAATAGCACCATTAGAAGAATCTTACAATCTTGCTCAAGCTGCATTCAAGGTGGCAAAGGAACATAAAATCTCCATAAGGGTGTGTGTGATATGGCCTGAAAAAACTACAGATGGATCTGGAAAAACTGAGGCTGCATTAGAACCTTGGACTAATTTCATTGAAGTTGCGGAATTAAGAAATCCACCAACTTCTGTTTCATGGTGGGATGTTTGTCAAATGACAGACAGAGGAGCCATTTTAGTGAGGCCCGATGAGCACATTGCATGGCGTACAAAATTCGGAATCACGGATCCTTTTGGAGATGGAAAGAATATTTTCCACTATATTTGGAGCTCAACCCAGGCAAACATAATCGAGTTTTTCTCCTTGTCAATGGAGTTTCATCACAGGAGGATAGAACTGCTTCCACAAAATTATAGCACAACACAGCATTGTCTCATAGCATGCCTATGATTTCATTACTATGCATGTACAACGCCAAAGCTTGATTCCCGAAAATTTCATGGGCTCTTTTATTGTACTCCATATTTAGTGCTTAAAGAAGCAGCTTTTATTGATTTTAGAGGTCATGATAGTTTTCTGTTGTTGGCCACACGTGGAAAACAGGCTCTTGTTAAAACCAAGTGTTTACTCGTCTTAGTATTATGAGAGTTTATATTTTCATGCAATTTCTTCTCGCATTACCCTAGAATGTATCCGTTCAGAAGCAACAATTGCACCCAGAATCTATGCTACATAAGTTCTCTATTGCAAATTCCTATTATTCTTAGTTATTTGTTGTAGGACAAAATGTCAAAAACAATTAACTGGATAAACAAGTACTTATCTTGTTGCACTTGACATCTCCAAAAGACAAACTTTGGCTCTCTAGCAACTAACTACTGATAGCTGCAAGAAGTTTGTACTAAGCAAGTTGGTAATTGGAGAAGATACTACGGTTCCTGTAGAAACTCTCCATATTTACATGCGAACAAATGGCGATCGCATGTCAACAAATGGATCTTTATATACCCTTTCAATGGAAAGGAGGCATCTAGTACGGGTATGTGCATATTGTTTTACATACAACATCTTCAGCATTTCAGATTCAAAAACATGACAGTTTGTTAGTTGCAGTCTTCACATATGGACGCTGCAAGTACTGCCCAATCATACCTACTCGAGCATCATGCTTGCTTACCAGGGCCAAAGATCAAATGGATCATTGTTGCTGTTACAATTCCCAGTAATCCACCGCAACAACCTGCAGGATGACTAGGATTTATTCAGAGCTACTAGCCAAATCTTTTTTTGGAAATTAAAGACATGTTTGACTTCCAGGCATAACATCAAGCTTGGTACATATTCAGTTTTTTAAGCATAAGCATTCAACAATAGATTATTGCGGTTGAATGAACGAAGTGCAAAGACGAACCTGTGAATACTCGGACGGGAAACAAAGAGTCAAAAAGAAGCATGCATAGTTTGCAGGCATTTGAATGAGCATCAGATTCAAAGCATTCTAATTCAGCTTTCAAGAAGTCTTAACATGGCAACTAAGATCGACAGAAACAATTGACAAAAGTAAACATGGTTGTCAAAGAGTTGCAACTTGGAAGCGACACCAAGGGATCGACAACTTAAAAGGTTATCATACACACAACATTAACAACTAAACCAGACGAAAGTGTCTCATTCTATTGATCAGGATCAAAAGAACGAGGACATTGCTGTTACACCTCCTACTAGAACTTATTTTTTTACCTAGACCTTTTCAGTTCAATCTTAATCTTTTAGACCACTGATCAGAAATGAAAGAAAAACAATATAATTAGCTAAATGTTTAGTGCAGAATATCAAGAAAAAATCATATTTAAAATGTGAGAAGAGATTCATGCAGCATGTATTGATTCTACAGGTACAAATGTCAAGAGGAAAGAAAAAAATCTGAAAAAAAAAATTTCATTCAAAAGAAACAAAAATGCACCTGAGGTGGGGTGTGGCCAAGAAGTTCTCGCAATGGTCTGCTCTCAGAAAGAGGATGTTCAGCTGGAAGTTCACAGACAATTTGGTTTAGGACCTGAAAAAGCCAGTTTGAATTGATATAAAGAAATTCAGTCTAATTATGTAATACAGACACACAGAGAGAAGCACATCTTATCATGCAAATCAATGAAAACAAACACAATTAACCAGGACTGTCACACCTCTGCTTGGCGTCCAGCATGCAGTCGCACACCAGTTGCATCATACATTACCTGCCAGAAATTGTCATATGGGAAATCCTCTTAATATGAATGAGCATTTGTATAGTAATTAGGAAGACACAACTTCTCAACATTCATCTAAAGTCAGTTAAATGATTGAAAAACAAAGAAACAAATTAAGCAAAAACAAAAATTACTAATGTCTGAATAACAAAGAAATTGTAGATGGAGATAAAGTCAATGATCATAGAACCTTGATAAAAGATCTAAGGTATTAGGTAAACAAACCAGCATAAAATAAGCTACACCTATCAAATTGTAAAAACACTTATTGATGAAAATAAAACTTAAATAATGAAACTATTCATTGTCCACTTAGAAATAGGTTAGCCCAAACAATAGGCTTGTGAACCCTGGGACACGTTTCTTCGGTAAAGAAACCTGCCAAAATTCTGTTTTTATTGTGGTTTATCATGTGGCAGTTTCACTTCATATTTCACAAATCTTGTGAAGTTCAACAAGCAAAGTTACATAAGAAAGAAGGCTGCCTTTGTTATATTTCCTTTGCTCATACTTTCTACCTCTTCACATTCACTTCGAATTTCAATAAGCAAAATATCAGCAACACAATGGATTAATTTATTTCACTTCAGAATTAGGTCATTTATGATCTTAACCCTGCTTGCTAACTTTAATTACCTAGATGGGAAACTTCTTTGACATGCTAATACCATGGTAGAATAAAGATAAACTTGTTCATTTGAAGTAATCAACTGAACTGGCTAGCAGATCATTGGGACAAGTATTTAGACACACTACTTGACTGCAAATAGAAGAGCACATATTTCAGAACCCTGAAAACTGCAGGGGCACCCTCAACTAGCTAGGAAGCCCCAAGCTCCAAACAGCCAGTTAAGATGAAATAAAGAAAACAGAGTTACTCAGAGAACAGTTGACCCTGCAATAATTACATTCAATTGCAAACACAAGGCCAGTAAAACTACTCAATCAGCAGTGATAAATCAATGTCCCATATTTCCTTAAAAAAAAAAGAGAATATACAGAAGGTAAGGACAGAGGAGAGAATAACATACCACACATGCTAAGATCAATGCAGTAGCAAACAAAGATCCCCAAAGCCCTCTTGCAAACCTACACCTATCGCCAAGGCAATAACAGTTGCTGAATGGGATGATGGCATACCGCCGGATCCGACAAGTTGCTTGAGATCCCAATGTCTTTCCCTATACCTAAAATATTCTCAAAACGTATATACTCTTAGAACTAGCAAGTGCAATCACTATATATGTTTACTGCCACCTAACTAAGACACAATCACCTACAGCAGGCAATTGCATTGGCGTTTTCCTTGAATTTATTTTTTGTTTCTCTTTTTCTCAAGATGGCCAAATAGATTGACAGCTTCAGTGAGCAATTCAAGGACGTGACTTTTTCGAGATGGAACTTTTTTGTGGACCTAAAAAAATTGAATTTCATGTCCTTATACTAAGGCCCCCCGAAGTTTTGATCAATTGAATCTAGTGAAATACAAAAAGCTACCAGAAAATGGAAACAAGTAGCACCAAGTTTTTGACAATATCAAGAAACTTATGCATGATCACGACAAAGCCGGAATCTGGATTAAATACCATGCAGCAAGGCTTATAGATATGAAATGCCTCCTTGAGCAATATAACTCAGCACTCGTATTGGGGAAAAAAATTACAACAGCATCAGATCCGAAAAAGTTCTTTACATTGTAAGATCAGAAAGTACATATTTATTGAATCACATGAAAAGGGCCATTCAAGAAATTGGAAATTAGATTCAAGATGGGATTTTTAACGTACCAGGAGGTCAAGAACTTGAAAGATTGAGCAAGAGCGAAAGCTAAGACAGCTGAAATCAAAGGGTAATTTGTGAATATTGATGACGACGACGACGGCGGCGGTGGTACTGATGCAAACGATGTTGTGGCAGAAGATGTTGTATCAGCTGTGGATATTGAAGGTATTGACTTCCGAATCAACATCGCTGTTGCGTCCACTATTCGCACCATCCGGTAGACGTTTGTTATTAAAGGTGTTAGAATGGTTTACCAGATTCTGGCCTCCAATACAATTCCTGGTTGAATAAATATTCCAGATGTTGATTTTTTGGAAATTTTGGATGAAAAATAAAAGAAAGATGCTTGAAGGGAAGAGTCAAAAAAAATGGTGCTGCTTTGTTGGGTTGAACTCGAAGGAACGTTGCTTGGTATCTGGTTTTCTACTGGTTTGTTTGTAGGAGTAGCCTGGCCAGCTTATTAAGCATTTAAGCCTCATGGCCGGAACACGTCAACGGTCAACTGGATATGCCGTCAAATGGTTCTTATAAGAATAATTCTTTCTTGAACAAAAATGGTTAAATCATTTTTTAAAAACTAATCTTTTTATCTCATTTACATTATAGAAATAATTACAGAAATCTCCCCTGAGGTTTCTGATATTTTCACTGACCTCCCCTATAGTTTGAAATATTACACAGACCTCCCTTGAGGTTACCAATCCTTTGCAAATTCAGTCCAAATGATTAAAATATTATTTTAGGGAGTGAAATTAAAATTTTTTACCAAATTTGTCCTTTTTACTACATGTCCAATAAATGACAAAATGTTACAAATCAATTAACAATTAATAAACTTTAAGGAGTATAGTTTATAGGCAAATATGCATTACCTATTTAAAGTATCGCTCTTTATGGGTATTTTACTTTCAAACATTTAATTTAATACAAATATTTACGCTCAAATATATATTTGTATTTACTTTCAAATATTTAATTTTTGTTAAATACAAAAACTACCAATCTTTCTTCCGTAAAAAGATTAATATAACACTTTTTCAATTTTAGTACAAATATTTATGTATTTAATATAAATTAAATGATTCAAAATAAAATACCCATAAAGAACCAATACTTTACTCATGTAATGGATGAAAGCCATAAAGAATTAATACTTTATGGGTCATTTTAAAAAAATATTTAATTTATATTAAATAAATAACCTACCGATTTTCTTTTTGCAAGAATATTAATATAACACTTTTTGAATTTTACTAACAAATATTGATATATTTATCATAAATTAAATGTTTGAAAGTAAAATATCCGTAAAAAATCGATACTTTAAATGAGTAATGCGTGTTTGCCTATAAAGAGTCGGTAACTATTTAAAGTACCGGTTTTTTAATGGTATTTTACTTTCAAATATTTAATTTAATACAAATATTTACGCTCAAATCAGATTTGCATTTACTTTCAAATATTTAATTTTTGTTAAATACAAAACCTACCAATCTCTTTTCCGTAAAAATATTAATATAACAATTTTTCAATTTTAGTTACAAACATTTATGTATTTAACATAAATTAAATGATTCAGAATAAAATGTACATAAAAAGTGAATACTTTACTCGTGTAATGGATGAAAGCCATAAAAAATTAATACTTTATGGGCCATTTATTTTTTTAAAAAAATATTTAATTTATATTAAATAAATAACCTATTGATTTCCTTTTTGCGAGAATATTACTATAACAATTTTTGAATACTTACAAATATTGATATATTTATCATAAATTAAATATTTGAAAATAAAATACTTGTAAAGAGCTGGTAGTTTAAATGAGTAATGCGTGTTTGCCCATAAATTATACTCATTAAAATTTATTAATTGTTAATTGATTTATAGTACTTTGTCATTCATTGGATATGTAGAATAAAGGGCAAATCTGGTACAAAATTCTAATTTCACTCCCTAAAATAATATTTTAATCGTTTGGACTAAATTTGCAAAGGATTAATAACGTCAAGGGAGGTCAGTGTAATTTTTCAAACCACAGGGGAGGTCAGTGCAAATGTCAAAAACTTTAGGGAGGTTTCTGCAATTATCCCTTCATTATATTCAAAAAGAATTTTTTTGCTTCAAACATATATTTTTTTATTATCTAAGTTAGACAATAAACTTTGTACTGTCATCTAAGTGGCGGGTGGACCAAAATGACTTGAAACTTAATTTTAATTAATTTATCACTGTAATTTCTAATAAAATCAATTTCACAAGAGTAATTACATATCAAGTAATAAAATTTTAAATAAATATTCTCAAACCAAATCTAAAATAAATTAAAACACCATAAAAATATTTTATCCCAAATCAAATATAAAATAAATTAAAATAGTATAAAAGTAAAAAATAATATAATACATTATTTGTTCAAATATAATAATTTCAATTTCACACAAGTTAAATAAATTCATTTAGGGTTAAGTGATTAATGTCTTTGGAAAAAAAAGAATAATTTATTTTTGTTAGATAAAATAATTTGTATGTTTATCAAATTATTTTTAATTCGTAAACGGGTTAACGGGATCACCCACAGATTAATCCAAATTCAACTCGTTTCCTTTTCCAATTCATCGGATTTGATTTGATTCGATTTTGACCCGAACCTGCAAAACCTCAACCCAAATCCATTAATTTCGTGTTGGATTCGTGTCGTGTTTTTAAATTGTGTCGAAAATTGCCGCCCCTAATTTCACTACTTGTTTGGAAAAAATTAATTTATGAGCTATGGTTAGGGATGAAAAAATTACTCAACCCTGCTAGCATTTTTTTTTCATAAGTAAATTTAAAATTTCATTTTAAAAAAATAGGAAAGAAGACTAAAGTTTGTCATAAATTGATAATGTTTAAAAATAAACAAATTAACAAACTACGAGAAAATAAGATGATAAGATAAAAATAACAAATAGCAATAAAAAAATGAAACTAAAGTAGATAACATCGTGACAAAAAATTTCGACAAAAAAAAAAAAAAAAACTAAGCCGGATATTTATCTGCATAAAAAATGCATCAAACAATTGCTAAGGTTAAAAAATCAAACATTCCACTGCAGCAACCTTAATGCGGGAAAGTCTCCGACAGCGAGTTCAATAATCAAATGCAGGCCTCAGATTTCTCCAGGTCATTTGCACCCCATTCCATCCTCAGCTTCAAAAAATGACTAGCTTCTCATGCCTCTGGTGCAATCGCAAAGGCGTTCCCACCGGCATTTTTCAGGTTCTTGGTTCAAAAATCAGTCATAATGTCTGTATCGTCCGAACTGACCTGATGACCAATAATCTACTTAATCTTACTATTCTTCTGGCAGAGACAGCTTGAATGCACCAGGCTTGTATCGTGAACTCAGTCGACCAAAATGTTTCGAGTCCCTGGCTCTTGAATTGAATGCCATTAGAGACAACTAGGCGGTGCAGAAGGCTTCCTTCGGTTACTGGGGAAACATTTAGACGACACTAGGAGAAGCAAATTTCATGAGCTCTGCTCTTGCTGCTTCCATTACCACTTTAAAGTCTACCTGCGTGTATCTTCCCCTGAACTCAAGCAGAGGTAGATCAACTTCTATCTTTTTTTTTTTTTCAACAAAGCATAAAACATAATGCTATGAGATCCATATTACAATGAAATGATAAAAAGACAGTATTAACCCTGCGAGTTGCTCAAGAAAATCTGCAGAGGCAAACTCACTTATGTCAGTGTCCTGGCAAAGCATGGAAAGAGACTTGAATTTTTCCTGATGAATAAAATAACCTCATAGTCCTACACAACCTCATGATTCAAGGAAAGACAAAATCCACGCAGTAGACTTAGAAACTTGTGAAAAGCAAAACAGATGTAAAACATGTATCTTTCATTTTACCAGGATGGCCGATGCGCTACTTTGAAGAGTAGATTATCCACAAGAAAAGCAAACATTAGGTTTATTCGAAAGAACCATTGAACATATCTGAGGAAGCTGCAAATGTCATTTACTTTTAACCAAAACTAGCACACCATGGAAGGAAGCAAGCACTTTTTTTTTTTTGGGTGCATATGTGTTGACAACTTTCCCTAGGGTTCAGTCACTACTCACTTCTCCTGAATCTTAAAGCACAGATTGATGATGCAGTAAAGATACCAGAAATGAGTTCTTGACCAAGTTGCAGAAGGAAAGGCTGGGCTGGCGAGGCCATGCATTATCCTAGCAACAGCCCTGGGGGTAAATTTTGCCTGTGAATGACTCTGCAAAAACACCTTTTGAACAAAACAGAGGAATGAAATTACGACTCTGCCAACTTTTTCTTTATTACAAAAATATAGGCTATTAACAACAAAAACTCACCTTTATGTCGGCTCTCAGAAAGCGGCTGCATATTTGAAAAAATTTGTTTCAGTACACTTAGTAATGCTACATAGAGCACAGACATGTTACTGAAAAAAGAAAAAACCGTTATGCTTGATTCCGGATACAGTAGAGCCGAAGAGGAATTGGTCATGAAATATCAGATTATAGACACTTCTACGGTCCTAAGGACCAAAACTGATAGATAATTTTACTAGTTTTAGTGCGATGACATGCAACTTAAGACAACATCAAACAGTTCACTGACAGAGGTTCTAATGTTATAAACACCTGAGGGAGAAAGCAGTGGTGCTCTGTGAAATGTGTGACGTGTTTTGACAATCCAAGGTTCACATAACTTCATAGAACCACGGTAAGCGCAAATTTGAAGTAAAAAGTGCAATGTGCAGAAAAGCGTATGGATTTGCAACCTGCTTTCAGCCATGATATTGGGGATATCATCATCATTGCTGTTGAAGTACTCGAAAATCTTCCTTTGTAAGCAAGGGTATGTTGATGGTCATTACATCCATCCACTTTATTACACTGTTTTACTGCAAAGACCGCAGCATTGAACATTGCATCTAATTTCCGAACCTATGCCAGAAGGAAGAAAATATTGTCAGGTAAATGGTTGAATTAAGTGAAGCACAAGCTCCCCAGGCCAATATTGGCCTCAAGTTTAGGAAGTTCAGAAATTGGGCACGATCTTTATCAAAAGAAATCGTTTCTTCCCCAGGGTTCAGTATTTGGGTCTACCATTTTTGAAACGATCAAAAGGTCACAGGAAAATTCTAGATATTTTGAAAATTTGACCAAGGCTTGAAAAGCATTTGTCTAGTTAAAGAGTCATGATGGTTGTCCAGATTCTTGTGATGTCCAGGAATGCCAGGTGCCAAGAAAGCCAAACTGAAGCTTGATACAGAAGTGGTAATGGAGGTGTTCACCACCAAAATATACTATTTTTGATATATCCAAGGTGGTTGTTGAAGATGCTTAAAAAGTCAGATCAATTAGAATAAGTTTTGACAATTGCAGAGGCCATCATACCCAACCACAGAGGAAATATCATAAACAGACATGAACAAGAAGTTAAATGCAAGCAGAGATACTCTTATAGCTCTGAACTTTGGACCATGAGCCATCACGTTCTAGTCTTCAACCACCCATATTTGTAAACCAAAGAAACAAGGTAACATGCACAGTTATACATACATCAAACAACTACAAAATTGATCAGTAACATATTAGGAGAGACAATCACCTTATAGATCTCAACATCTGATAACCACTTTGTAATAGTTGCTGCCAAAGAACAAACATCATTCGGCACATCCACAATTCTATAGCAAAATGCCTGATCCTTCAATTCATATGTAATCTCTCCCTTCAACTAAAATGAGTGGCAAAGTTAGCAACAATTCAAGTTCCTTTCTTAATGTAAGCCAATAGAAAGTATATAGTTGATTAATGTCTGGAAGTTGCGAGACAGACTTGCTAATCATGTATGCTACCATGTTCTACGAATAACAAACCATTTGATGCATAGAGTTCAAACTTGTGGTTGATTTATTAATATGACAATAACAGGTTTTAGATGGTATCTCTTCTTGTTGATAATACAAACATCTGAAATAACATCATGGCTCCCATTACCAGAACATTGTTTTCAAATAATTGCTCATGCTCCATTTTTTTTTTTTTTTAAAAAACTCATGCTGACTTTTTAAGATCCTCTTAGAAGACATTCCAATTAAGTCATTGATAATCATAAATACTAGAAAGCAGCGAGCTAGGCAAGACTGGTCAACAATATACAGTTTCACTGGTGGTGTGAAAAAATTTTGCCAATGAGGAAACTTTACATGATAATAATCAAGTTCCACTATAACTGTTGCCGGCTGCCTTCAAATATCTATTAAGTCCTAATAATTCATTTGCTCATTGAAAGATTACTGTGATAAAGCTATAGATTAGCTGCCAAATTTCTCCACATGTTGATATGTGACTTGCATATACTAGAATATAAATGCAGATAATTTATGACTTGCACCTTTAGACTCTGCAAATGATTCGACAAGTCAGTAGCCTGCCATCTGATGCTATTTGCTGTACTTGGTATGTCAAACACATACTGCCCGTCTTTCAGTTCAGACCTGAAAGCGTTTGTTTAGCTCATGAAAATCAATGACAAAGACGTCTAGCTAGTAATAATAATAAAAAAACACTAATCCTTACTTCTTTAAAATTGCTGCAATTACAATATCTTTATTTGCGAGCAAAGATGGGGAAGTCTACAGTCATAGAACTTATTAGAAATGATAACCAAAGTTAGAACAAACAAATCCACCTGAGAGACAATATAACATAAAGTCACAAACTACCTGATGGAAATTTAAAGTGCAAGTAACTTGATCTGTGGAAGCAAGTTCAGGTATTGCAGGTCATCCAATTCCAACTGAGTTAAAATTGTAAGCATCACCTAACAGGGCAAGCATATTTAGAGGTACAACATTGTCAGAACAGCTGAAGGGATTTTGAAACCACACCATGTGTGCTTTTGGATAGATTCAACATCTTAAAGGGACATTTTCCCCTATTGAGTAATTTAGTACTTGTGTAACTCAAAATGCAGTCATATTATTACAGAAAAAGCATGCCAGCTACGCGTAAAGTAAGTATATGGGGTTTGAAGTACAGATAACTAATATGCCAAAGATTTTGTTGGAGGCTCAATGGTGCAATAAAGGGGAAAGTGCTTCCTTTGATTAAAACACTTCACGATATATTTAAGGAGAGTTGCAACTGCTAAAGAAAGGAATTAGGCCCTTTGTCTTTAGGCATATACAAATATCAGATTGGATGTGGTCCTTCTTATTCAGTCAAAGAAATAAAAACAGTATTCAACCAGCAAGTTGATGTGCTAGCTACTGATTCTACAGAATGCAGAGTTTTAAGTTCAGAAGTACAGCTTATTCTTCAGAAACATCAAGAAGCTCTTATTTGAAAGGAAAAGGAAGGACCTCTTCTTTGATATCAAATTTCCGAGATGCAGATTCCTTGATTATTGAACAAATTTTGCCTGATGAATTTGTATTACTGAAAATTTGACAAAGGAACTTCTTCACAGCATACTCATCTACACCATCACTGGGAACAATGTACCTATTTTTAGATATTTTGAAACCAAAAAGAAAGATGAAAAGGTGGGATGACACTTAATACCTGTACATAAGACTACGCATCTTGAAGTAGGTAGCCTCATCAAAAAAAGATGGCAATACGACAATCTTCCATCACGTCCAGCACGGCCTATCTCCTGCATGGTTTACATTTAGCTTAGCTGAATAAAATTTAAAGAAAGGACATCAAGTAGACCACGTGATCTAAAAGATTTTGAACAAGAGTTCAATTTTTTGTAGAACAGGTATCAACCTGAACGTATTCTTCCAAGCTTTCTGGTAAGCTGTAATGTATTACCTGAAACAAAAGCACAAAAGAAGTCTAGCACAAATACTAGAAAGTAAAAGAACTTTGAAATGGAAGATGGAGCATATAAAAAATTAAGAACATTGCTTATTGAAACTTTGTACAACTGACGTGTAAATAGATTTTCAACAAATGCATAAGCCAATCTGCTAGGTCATTGCAGTAACCACCACATATCCAGCAGGATCACAGGTTCAGCATGAAGATCATGAACAGACAGAATTATTTATTCTTTTAGATTGACAAAAAAGTTCTCATATAAACACCTGACAAAAACTACTCCTTTATAAAGTAACTGTCGTCAGCTGAGCTAAGCAATACTAGAAACCAATGTCTGCCAAGCCTAAGAAAGAGACGTAACTTATTGACGCAACATTTTGATATATACTTTTTACATACACAGACGTTTTAGTATTATTTAAGAATATTCTACAATGCAAGAAGAACCAAGAAAATGTCCTTACAGCTCCAATATCCCTTTTATCAAGTCCCATGCCAAAAGCCACAGTTGCAACAACCTTCCAAACACAAAAGATTGTAAACTAATTAAAATAAAGCAAAATGCTGAAGAAACTTTCTGCTATGCTTAAGGCATAAGGTGTAAAGAGTTCAACACAAGTACCTACCACCCTTATCTTGTTCAAACAAAATATTTCCTGTATACGACGTCGATCTTCTGCAGGGATAGAGCTATGATAACTCTGAAAAGGAACTAACAGATTCTCAAGTTTCAATCAAAGAAAAATTGAGCACACCAGATCAGGATAATGTTAACATTGCCCACCACAAAAAGCAAGTATATGCAGCACCAACCTTAGCTGAGATATTGTTGTCACATAGATATCTGCTTATCAGGTCAGCTTCAGACTGTGAACCACCAAAAGGACAAATAAAATAAGTCACCAGCCAATGCTATACTAGTGCAAAATGTGGTATATCTGCAAAGAACTAGTAAAAACTATGCAAAGATTACCTGAAATTTGCAGTAAATAATTATGCTTTTTATCTCCACATAGGGAGAAGATTTGAGTAATGTCATTAGATCTTTCATTCTGGATTTAAAAAAAAAAGAGAGAGAGAATGCTCAATGCAAATAGAAGACAAAAGGAGTCAAGTCAAAACTAAAAGAGAATAAGAGTGTATACTTGCCTATTTCCAGTCTGTGACAGAGATAATTGCAGATTTTCCCTCATTTTGACAGCCTGGATTAGATTTGTTGCAGGAATTTCTAAAGCATGCATCACATTATGCAACGTTTTGGATGTTGCAGTTGCAGTCATTGCAAGAACGCAATCAGCATGAAGCTTAGCACGCAACATTGATCCCCTTAGCCTCATGTAGGAAGGCCGGAAATTGTGTGACCTGTCAATTTGTTCAGCATATATGAAGAATTGCAAGCATGAAAACTGCATCCATCTAGTCTGAAATGCATGTAAGGAAAGTTACAAAATTCAACAAGTTACTGAACGTGCAAGAACTTACCATTCCGATATACAGTGGGCTTCATCAATCACAACAAGTGATATTAAAGAAATGCCAGAAAATATGGATGTGAATTCGACATTTAAAAGCCTCTCTGGTGAAACAAAGAGTACCTGAAACATGACCAACCAGTTCTAACTCTTGGCACTTAAGGTAAAAGGGAAAAGCTCATAAAGTGTATAACTTTGGAAAAATGCAACATAACCCAGCATCATCCACCGCATACTTCTATATTTTGTGGGACAGTTCAATTATTGAAAAATTTGACTTAAACAGCAAATTCACAGAATAAATCACATGCCTGCAGGTAAATATAGGAATGGAACTAGAAGTTTCCATGTCTCCAGTTACCTTTATTGTTTGGTTCTTTAATAACTTAAGTGCCTCGGAAGCCTCTTCTGGTGTCTACAAAAAAAAAAAAAAAAAGAGCCTACAAGATCAGAAATTATTAACGTGCAAAACAAACACAAACACTGCTGCACGTATTACTACCTGTCTGCTACACAGGAGAGCACCAGGAATAGTAGGAGGTAGGTGTTTGAGCTGATCAATCATCAAAGCGACTAATGGACTAACGACAAGGGTAACCCTGGCAAAACTAACGCTGGCACCTGATAACACAAAGACTTCCCAGAGCCAGTTGGTAAAATTAACATGGTTGATTTCTTAGAAAGCACCATCTTAATAGCCTCCAATTGCCCATTCCTGAATGAATCATAGCCATGACTTAATTTCAATAACCTTAGTAAATTCTCATCTGATGCCTCATCTCGTACCCTCATCACAGCCTCTTCAATTGTACCGATATCAAAACTAGATATTTTCTGCACGCGTTTAATCTCCAAAACATGATCATCTTCATCACATAATCCGCCCACTTCTCCTTCTCCTTTATTTTCAACTCCAAATTTCCTCTTACGTCTTCTGGAAAATCTTTGACGCCCAAGTGATGAACTTCCAAGATTCCTGTGCTTCCCCTTGATTTGAACTTTTTCCTTCCATAACCATTAATATTCAGTTTCACAAAGTTACCTTCACTTTTAAATTTAACCCTTGTCGCTGACGATATACAAGCGTTAGAAGCAGAAGACACGCCACTTTCAATGCAATTAGGATCTCTTCACCACTTTGACGCATTAAACCTTCATTTCCAGTTTCTTGTCGGACCACATTGTCATCCCCTAACTCTGCCTTCGCTTTGGGTTTTAGTAAAGGTTCAGTGGGATTAGATTCAAGGGGCTCAAATTTCAGATTTTCTTTCCGGGTTTTCGAAAGATGCAAACTTGGATATCAGACGCCCAACAGGCAAAAGGGTTGGGACTGAATGGTTGCAATTGGAGGAAAATGAGGAGCTTCCATTAATTGAGCCAGAGCGGTGGATATGATGGAAGGGTAAACTGGAGAGTCAGGAGGGGAAGTGAAATTTTAGTTGGGTTTCCTTCAAGGGGTGTTTCGGATCAGGATTTATAGCTGACTTAGAGCATTTGCTAGAGGGTTTTGGTTTCAGGATGGGGCGTGAAGTGGACTTGGAAATGGCGCGGCTTTAAATTTAGTTCTTGATTTGGCGGAGGAAAGAAGAAGAGCGGGTCTTGCTGATGCTGGAGGCGGAGAGGGCGGTGGTGAATCACGTGGTGGCGTTGCGGAAATGTGAGAGCCATCGGAATCGGAGTCCATGGAAATAGCTTAAGAGAAACTTGACTCTCGTGACTTGTGCTGGCACTGTGCAGTTGTAGGTCTCTTCCCGCCTCTTTTATGGAGGGAAAGTTCAGATTTAGACATAGTCACATAGACATGGACAACTAGGCAAGGGTTTTATTGTCACTTCAGACCCGTACTACTAGCACATTGACTAGAAATCCAGCGGTGATTCATCGGATGATCATACACAATCCTAAGCTCCCTTAGAACTCCTCCCTCCCTCGGACTTGGAAACTTGGTCCGGAAGACCTGTGTTTTTCAAGGGTAAGCCTTACGCTTATCTATCTACATTCCATCAACCTTACCTGCTAACTCTTGAGATTTGACGTCTCTTCTTACATATATTACCGCGGCGCTACTGCAGATTGAATACAATCACCACAACAATGACGCTTCGGTTATCTCAGTGCCTGGGAGACTCAACATGGCATTGTTGATTTAAGGGCAGTTGGGCTTGTGATCAAAAGTTTTGGAGAAAATAAAAGAAACAGCTCCACCGAGCATATCCAAGAAAAGGCACGAGTGCCTGCCTATACTTTCCAGTAACATCCCAAGGTTTATCTATCATCTCCAATAAGAATACAAAAGCAAATGACAAGAATGAATCAAATTTTATCAGCCACAATTACACTGAACAGAAATGCTAGTGCTTGAATAAACATTTCTATAGCAGCACAGCAAAAGAATTACCGCTTGCTCTCTAGTAAAGGGTTGGAATCAAATACAAATGCTAACAAGAATATGGCAAGTGGAACAATAAACAACCTACCAGAGCCTTCAGCTATCATCCGCCTAATAAGAACTACAACTTTACAATGACATATTTCTTACGAATTACTTGCAAACAACAAAATGCAATGGTAGTTATCCAAACATCTCCCCATTGAATTAAAAATTCTCGGCCTTCAACAAAATTAAGTTGACTGGAGCACCCCAAGCAACCTTGTGACAAGCACAGCAATCTTTTCTGGAAGAAAGCTTACATAATTGCACAGTTACACTTGGATTCCAGCTTTGGAGGTTTCACACTATCACCCCTAGCAGGAGACCCAACAATACGAGCAGTAAAGCATCACTTTTCTCATCAGATGCAATGTTGCTCGAGGGGGTTTTGAGTCTGTTTCTAGCCGCCTTTGCCTAGCCTTTTGGGGCTTAGTATTGCGCTTGGACACAATTCTGGTACGTGATTCCCTTCTGTCAGGATTTGTTTTTCCAACGATAGTTACTGCTGGCCTGGAACCCTCCAACTGGGTGTAGTTTTCTTTCTCTATTGCAATACTTGCAGCCTCATAGGCCAGATTGTGGACGATGGAGCTGCAGAAGAGTATACTATCTGTTGCTTCTTCTAGTGTCAAGCTCCTAGTGTGGTGTCTCCTTGGCCTTCTAGCATGACAGTGATTCTTCTGTCAACACTTCGAGAATTTCAGCATTTTTATGCATCAATTCCTTGGTTTTTCTTTCTTTATTTATTAGAGTTAGTATTCAGGGAAACATGATCAAAGTGTGAAGAAGGAAAAGAAGTCATACAGGAAATATAATACATGAAGCAAGATTTACAACTCTTACAAATTGCTAAGGAAGATTATCTTTGGCGAAGCAATGATACAAGTAAAAGGACCTTGATGAAATGAAATTGATGGACAGTGTTACATTTAGCAATATGAAAGTAAGTTCAGTACAGTGCAACACTTCAGATCTAAAGAATAAATTACACCACCTCATAAGCATATAGTTCACAAATTATTAGATTCTCAACATTGGCTTTCATTTATTCTTTGGAAGTTAAAACCATGAGGTTTCTTCTGCACGAAAAGCATAATTGCTGAAGTTTCTCGGAAAGGTGCATCATATGCATCTTATTTAGCCAGAACATCTTTCCATATAAAAGCAATGAAGCACGGGTTTGGTGTAAAAATATTTTGTCATCTTTTATTTTTTCAATTTTACCCTCACAAAAGTAAGATTTACTAAAGATAACTACTAAAGTTCAGTAACTTCCAATAACTTCCACTATTTTAACTTCCAATAACTTTTTTTTTTTTTTTGCAAAGAGAATTCAATTTTTTCTTGGTATGCAACAAAAAATAAATAAATAAAACTTCTAATAACTTCCATTGGTTTTAATAAAAATAACTTAATTTTTTTCTTAATTTGCACGCCCTAGGGTGTGGCTATTCCCGCTAGTGTTTATAAAACATGAAGGAAGGGTTAATGTAGTATAAACTCAGCCTTCTAAACTCAGTCTATTGCAGCAGCTGATGAGCTTTAAACGAAATCCCTAGCACTTTGACTTCAGTCACGATGGGCCTGTTCCCAAGTCAATTGCTGGACCTGCTTTTAGCTTCTCAATTTGAAAAATGTGTCATAAGATGATCTCAAAGACTCTTCTTTCAGCCTTTGACTTTTTTAAACTATGAAAAGCCAAAATCAGAAGCTAGTAGAGACATGCCTTTTGATTTCAATTTTAAGCTTTTCTAAGATCAGCTTTTACAAGAATCAAAATCAATTAAGAACAGGCGCAAAGAAACAGAAACTTATTGAAAGTTCAGAGTATTAAATGTGAAATGTGCATCGTCTTGGCTTATTATTGGTTCAATTGGAAAAAAGTGAGGCAAATATCAACAAAGAAATCTAAAATGATACACATCCTGGGAAGAATTCATAAGAAACTTGAGACACAAGATGTAATAGGCTAATATCCGCTTCTGCAATTTTAGACAGTCTCTTGAGTTCAAAAGCACATTTTTGGAATAAGTCAATGTCAAAAGGTTGAAAAGACACCATTAAACCAAGTTCCAGACTCTCTACTATACATCCTCTCATCATACAACTGCATAGAATTCCAGAACTAGCCAACACAAAGTCCTAGAATCTAGTTGAGTAATGATGTAAAATGATATCAAACTCTAATGACCTAAAGCACAAATTCGTAAAAGCAATAAATTGAAAGAATAACTAACAAACAGTAAACAAAGCAAAAAGGACAAGATTAAAATGGATAAAGAAGTTTACATACCAAGAATGCAGTGCACATGATCTTGGTTGACAGATTCTTCAACAGAAGCTGATATGTCATGAGAGGACACAATGCGATGAGAAGGATCCTGCAAGCCATCCATGCTGCTTCTTGAATTTTGGGAGTCCATATCAAATACAGAATCAGGAGAAATCACATGATCATTCTCAGATTCCAACTCTGATATAGCATCCAAAGAGCTCAAGTTGGGAACCTCTGCAACATCCAGACGGTCAGTAGAAGCATTTGACAAGCAATCTTCCTCCTGACAAGTCTCAGGATATGTAGATGATGCTTCTAAACTGATGCCACCCTGAGAATCATTTGCCAATTCTTCAACATGCTCATGCAAAGCAGGCTCTTCAATATTTGAAGCTGATTTCACATAAGCATCTCCTAGATGGATGTTTGCTGTATGGCTTGACAGCTCTGAAACTGTTCTCAATTGCTATCACTTTCAATATCACTGCTCATGTTGTCCAACTCTATACTTTCTGAAGCAAGTGAAAGGTCTTGGAGAGGAACATGAGTCACCTCCAGATTAATTCTTTCCACATGGACGGCGCGCAGATACCTCAAGACTTTCGTCATGAGAGCTTGTTGCAAGACTTGAAGCTTGGAAACCATGAGTTGAAGTTCCAGACAAAGATGAGACTGAGCGTTGGTGCTTTGAGTACATCTCATATCTGTAATTTTCGTGTCCGACTTCCTGCTACTTAATTGCCTTTGAGCACGAGCTTCAGTTTGTCTACTGATCCCAAGTCAAGAGAAGAGGATGCAGAGGCAGTACCATACCCAAAGGAGCTTCTTGTGCTTGTTGCGCTGTCTCTCACATAGGAAAAGTCATCACAAGTTATGCTGGTGGCAGTAAAAGTCCTACTCCTTATGATAGGCCCCTTGACACTGTGTGGTGTCAACAATAGAGAAATACCTGCACCTTCTGAAACATCGCCTTTAAATTTGAATAGCCACTGTTGTTCTGCAATTGCTGAGCAACAATCTCATCATTAAGTGTTGTGTTGCCACTTAAAGTTGGTTGACTTCCGACTTGCTGGCTGACAAGATTCAGCTCACCTAGTGCACCAGAACTCTCTGGTAGATTAGCATTCGCTCAGTATGGCATCAGTTCCTGGTTCACCCATAGCATTTACAGCTAAAGATACAAGCATTGCTGCAGATGGAGCAAAAGCATCCACTGATCCATGATCTAAAACTTTTGCAGAGACACTGGTAAGTTCTCAACAGCAATCACTGTTTTGGGTGATAGAACAGAAAGTATTTCTGCACTTCTGCAGTTTCTACAAAGTTTTAGGTCCGCATCAATTTCTTCAATGGCATGATACCTGCAACCACATCTGGAGCAGAGTAGAGTCTCCTCAAAACTATGTACATCTTGACAGTCACCTTTCACATCGAAGACTGCAGAAGCAACTGAAATTTCCAATCCTTTATCCTGGTGGGTAGAACTTCCATCACCAACTACATGAGAATCCAATACAAGATCGCCATCATCTTCATCATGCCTGTCTGACAATTTCTCATTATTCTTATCTACAGATTTGTCATCTATGGAATCAGCCTTGTCGAAGGCAAATACTTCTTCTTGTATGTCATGGTATGGTGCCTTTATGCAGGCGTTGGTAATACCCTCCTGGTTATGTTCACTACCTTCAGTATCGTGCGCACCACTGGTTCCCAGATCAGAGCTTGCATTACTGCTAGTTGTGACAGAAGAATTTCTAGATATGACAGACCGATGAGCAGCACTTGATTTACCAGCATAAAAGGTTGAACTGGGGACACTAGATAAAAGAGGCCTGAACATATTATGCGGAGAGCCTTTTCTATGATCCTACAAAAGAACCAAAAAAAAGGGATGAAGGTCTTTACTTCTACCATGGAAACTCAATTTGATACCCATGGCATATTTTAATCAGATTATGGAAGCCAAAAACCACAAAATGCACATGCAAGTCATGCATAAGGAAAACCATTCAAACTCACACGTCAAACAAGCATGTCACTACGTGTTGCATTTAACGCATGGCAAGTGGCCTAAAAGTACAAGCATTAGCTTTATCTCAAATTAAAAAATCAATAATGATTGTTATCTCGAATTCAGAAATCAATAGAGATGCCGTGTTCATCATGGCATCACAGCACAACGTTACTCCTCGCCATACTCATCATGTGGCAAAAGAAGGTATTTTTACAGTGAAGTCTGGAGATGTTGCCAACTCCACGATCAGCCCTATATTGGCACTTCAGCTCCATGCATACATATAAGCCCGAGGTCTCCCCATTTCACTTTTCTAAGTTGTGAGACAGAATAAATTAACTGTATGACTTTTTACTACTTTGGATGCGGAGGATAAAAATGCTATGGAAGTACTTTTAAATTGATTCTGAGCAAGTCAAACTACTTTTTGCCAACTAAGCTCCATGACCTCAGACTTAATATGTGTATTGTATGATTGATATGCGTGGTCTCCACAAAGATTATTATTATCTGGCATTACTCTCAAGCAATGAAATTGGCTTATTACCATTACGTTGCATGATGATGCAAAACTGCAGGTTCCATAGGAATGGTGATTCCTTCATTTTTTTTTGGTCAATTAATTCCACCATGTTATGACATTATTGGACACTTACTGCACATATCACTTAAAAATGACCCATTAAAGCATATGCATCAGTCCCAATGCAGCTCAACTAAACGGCTCCATTAAGATTTACACCTCTGAGTGTCAAAATGGATGTCAATATTAG